ATTCGTCGGCGAAAAGAATGTGCCGTGAAAAATCAGGATTTAGTTCATTTTGTCGCAGTAACCATATAGCAACATGCACTCGTCGCGCAGTCGGCTCGTCGCAGATGCTGCACTTTCGTCAATAGTAAGGATGCAGATTTTTCTCTGTAAGGATACGATGCATGATCGATCTTGAGCATCCAATCATTTGTGCCACTTGTTCTTCACCGTCTATGCGTATAATCCGTGGAGCCCCAGCACGGCTTTCCGCATAGGCTGAAAAGATCCATCTTCTTTTGCTGGATGCAACAAACGACGAAACACATGCTGGTCAAGGAGCCGATGATTGGGGAAAAGACCTGTATATTCGCGCACAGCAGTGCCTGCATAGCGTGTACATTCTCCATAAATTGTTTGTATTGTTCTTAAAAAAAATTGCAACTATTGTTATAATTTTTATTCGTATCTTTTCAATCTCTAGAAAGTATGTACTCACAACTTTAAAGAAACTGTCTTAAATCATCATGTGCAACATCAATATTATTCTTGAATAAGTCTCAGTTTTCAGTATCTCCCCCACATGATTGACACCACAGCAGATACCTATGATCTTAATACACCAGAGAAGTGGAGTCTCGTCTATTTTTTCGTTGCTTAGATTAGGTATCAGCAACAAAGCTGTTCAGTAAAAATTGATACTGTTTATTGAAAATCATAATCACTGATTAATCAAAAGCGATATTTATGTTTAAATACACTTAATAACGTTCTTTGAATGGACATGTGGTACTCTTTTTTAGAAATAACGATAAACTTAATATCAGGCATATGATGCATTCTGAAAATGTACTAATTTTCGTTAAAAAGAACAACACATTATTCACGGGGCTCTAAGAAAATCACTTCTAATACCTGCTCTTCGGTAGCTACTCTATGTAGAATAGTAATAAATGTATTATTTGCCTAGGATGAAATGAAACAGCTTCTCTTATGACATGTACAGCCCAGTTAAACACAATTTAACTAGAATGGCAGCAGAAATAACTTCTGTGCCATGCTACTTGCCTTAAAGTAAACCTTGACGTCTCTGTGTACATTAATCAGTCATCTTTGGGGGCAGAAGCGTCTGTTCAGGTCAGTGATGAACTTCGTGACAGTTTATGACAAACAATTGTCAAAATGATTAAATTTATAACCACACTTCTGTTTCCTTTTGTTGACGGAGGGGGATTCGAAAAAAATTCATTCAACTTTAGTATTACCCGATTTTTTGTTCTTGGCATAGGTAACTTTGAACATAGAAACGTTCGGATATAAAAGCAGCCTCTCTATTGGTCAACTTAATCGCCTTCCAGTTCTCACACGGTTAAAGCCTGGACAATTCTTTTTGCGAATTACGGCACAGTTCGGGACAGGGAACATGTCATTCACGGGAATGGCGCGAATTCTGGGACACCCTGTATATTGAAAATTGAGATTTTTGAAAAGTTATCCAAAAATTTGGAAAAATTATAGGAAATACATTTTAACAAGCTTATTCAAAAAACATAATGTGTTGATAGTCCCCGACTAAAGGTTTCGGAAAAATTCGGTTTGAAAATTATTTTTTCTAAATATCTCGAATATCTTCAATTTTCATTTTATCGATTCTGGAAAAATTGTTGCAATTTTCGAAGAAATGACTTTTACAAGTCGAAATCTACAAGAATATGTTTTTGGGTAATTTTCAAAAAGTGCCAGAAAACCCATAAAAAAAATTAAAATTAAGACTTTTGAAATTTTCAAAAACTTCTAGGAAATATCTTATTTGAAAAACATAACGTGTTGATGGTCTCGAACCAAGAGTTCGGAAAATTCGGCTTGAAAATGTTTTTTTATATATACTGAATACTCGAAAAACGGTAAAAATTCATAATATTGAAAAACTCAGATTTTCTGAAAAGTTCCCCAAAAATCCTGACAAAATCCTAGGAAATATATTTCAACAAGCTGAATCTAAAAACAACGTGTTGATGAATGCGAATTAAGATGTTTAGAAAAATCGGTTTAATAATGTTTTTTTTTTAATTGACGAAAATTGACATTCCATTTAATCGATTCTGGAAAAATTATTGGAGTTTTGGAAAATGACACCAAAAATACTTCTACAAGACGAAATCTAAAAAAAACAAATGTCTTTACGTAGTTTTCGAATCTGGTGATCGAAAAACTGTAAAAAATATACACAAGGGAGAATTAAGATTTTTGAAAAGTTGTTAAAAATATGCAAAGTATTCTAGGAAAAAGCTTGTCCGAAAAAGATAACGTGTTGATGGTCAGCGACCAAGAGTTTTGAGAAATTTGGCTTGCAAATATTTTTTTTTAATATTTCGGAAGCTCGAAAAACGGTTAAAAAATTATAATATTGAAAAACTGAGATTTTTTTGAAAAGTTCCCCAGAAATCCTGAAAAAATTCTAGGAAATACATTTCAACGAGCTGAATCGAAAAACAACGTGTTGATGAGTGCGAACTAAGATTTTTAGGAAAATCGGTTTAAGAATGTTTTTTTTTAATTGACGAAAATTAACATATTCCATTTAATCGATTCTGGAAAAATTGTTAAAATTTTCGGAAAATGACACCGAAATTACTTCTACAAGACGAAATCTCCAAGAAAATGTCTTCACGTAATTTTTGAATCGAGTGCTCAGAAAACGGCAAAAAATGCATACAAGGGAAAATTAAAATTTTGAAAAGTTGTTAAAAATATTCAATTGGAATTTTCGAAGAAATGAAACCGAAAATAGCTTCTGCAAGTCGAAATCTACAAGAAAATATTTTTGAGTAATTTTCAAAAAGTGTAATAATAGTGAAAAGTTGGCAAAAATCTTCAAAGACTTTAGAAAATAGCGTATTCGAAAAACATAACGTTTTGATGGTCTCGGATCAAGAGTTCAAACTATTGGGCTTGAAAATGATTTTGTTTTCATAAATACATGTACCGAAAGCTCAAAAAACGATCATAAAATTCACAATATTGATGAATTGAGATTTTTTGAAAAATTTCCCAAAAATCTTGAAAAATTTCTAGGAAATACATTTCGACGAGCTGAATGGAAAAACAACGTGTTGATGAGTGCGAACTAAGATTTTTAGAAAAATCGGTTTAAAAATATTTTTTTTTATTGACGAAAATTAACATATTCCATTTAATCGATTCTGGAAAAATTGTTAAAATTTTCGAAAATGACACCGAAATTACTTCTACAAGACGAAATCTCCAAGAAAATGTCTTCACGTAATTTTTGAATTGAGTGCTCAGAAAACGGTAAAAAATGCATACAAGGGAAAATTAAAATTTTGAAAAGTTGTTAGAAATACTCAATTGGAATTTTCGAAGAAATGAAACCGAAAACAGCTTGTGCAAGTCGAAATCTACAAGAAAATGTTTTTGAATAATTTTCAAAAATTGTAATAATAGCGAAAAGTTGGCAAAAATCTTCAAAAATTTTAGGAAATAGCGTATTCGAAAAACAAAACGTATTGATGGTCTCGGATCAAGAGTTCGAAAAATTCAGCTTGAAAATGTTTTTTTTTTATACAACGAAAACTCGAAAAACTGTAAAAAAATTCATAATATATAAAAATTGAGATTTTTTTTGAAAAGCTCCCCAAAAATCCTGAAAAAATTCTAGGAAATACATTTCAACCAGCTAAATCAAAAAACGCCGTGTTGGTGAGTGCGACCTAAGATTTTTAGAAAAATCGGTTTAAGAATGATTTTTTTTATTGACGAAAATTAACATTCCATTTAATCGATTCTGGAAAAATTGTTGGAATTTTCGAAAATTACACCGAACTTACTTCTACAAGACGAAATCTACAAGAAAATGTCTTCACGTAATTTTTTAATCGAGTGCTCAGAAAACATTAAAAAATGGATACAATGGAAAATTAAAATTTTGAAAAGTTGTTAAAAATATTCGATTGGAATTTTCGGAAGAAATGAAACTGAAAATAACTTCTACAAGTCGAAATCTACAAGAAAATGTTTTTGAGTGATTTTCAAAAAGTGTAATAATAGTGAAAAATTGGCAAAAATCTTCAAAAACTTTAGCAAATAGCGTATTCTAAAAACATAACGTATTGATTGTCTCGGATCAAGAGTTCGAAAAATTCGGCTTAAAACTGTTTTTTTTTTTATATACAGAAAGCTCGAAAAACTCTAAAAAAAAATCACAATATTGAAAAATTGAGATTTTTTTGAAAAGTTCCCCAAAAGTCCTGAAAAAATTCTAGGAAATACACTTCAACGAGCTGAATAGAAAAACAACGTGTTCATGAGTGCGACCTAAGATTTTTAGAAAAATCGGTTTAAGAATGATTTTTTTTTTATTGACGAAAATTAACATTCCATTTAATCGATTCTGGAAAAATTGTTGGAATTTTCGAAAATGACACCGAACTTACTTCTACAAGACGAAATCTACAAGAAAATGTCTTCACGTAATTTTTGAATCGAGTGCTCAGAAAACATTAAAAAATGGATACAATGGAAAATTAAAATTTTGAAAAGTTGTTAAAAATATTCGATTGGAATTTTCGGAAGAAATGAAACTGAAAATAACTTCTACAAGTCGAAATCTACAAGAAAATGTTTTTGAGTGATTTTCAAAAAGTGTAATAATAGTGAAAAATTTGCAAAAATCTTCAAAAACTTTAGCAAATAGCGTATTCTAAAAACATAACGTATTGATGGTCTTGAATCAAGAGTTCAAAATATTGGGCTTGAAAATGTTTTTTTTTTTTCATGAATACATATACCGAAATCTCGAAAAATTGGTCAAAAAAATTGAGATTTTTTAAAGAAAAATTACAAGAAACTTTAAAATACTCAGTTGGTGTAATGTTGGTTGCCTACTAACCAAATACCCATCTCTGTGAAATCCTAAATTTTCAAAAATTAGTGGTTGCGCCGCGGAAATTTCTTATTTTTAAAACCTGTATAGGTTGTACTAATTCATATTTTAAATTTTTTAGGTACCGAAACTCTCAACCAAACTCCAGGGAACAACAAACTACTGACTACAATTTTCCTTATTCTAGCAGTCAGTACTGCCTTTACAATCACATTATTCCTGTTCTTGTGGCACTATGACGTATCTATTAAAATTAATATAGTGTCCAACGCGCCACAAATTGACCCCATCAATAAAGAAACCCCATCTGATAGTCCACGTCTCGGTACAAACAAACCTTACCCACCACGACACCAAAAAAACTGACAATTCAAATTTCAGACCCAGAAAATCTAACCATCATTCCTCGTGAAGCTTGGCAACTCAAACCCCCCCAGCACCCCACAGACCTTTCACTTCCAGTTCCATACGTAATAATCCACTTTACCGCCACCAAGGAATGCTCGGCACCACCTCAGTGTATGCACTACGCAAGAATCATCCAATCTTCACATATAAAAATTAGACATTGGCGCGACATTGGGTACAACTTCCTCGTGGGTGGAGATGGACAAGTGTACGAAGGACGAGGATGGAAAAGTATGGGTGCTCACACCAAAGACTACAATTCCAAAAGCATAGGAATCGCCTTCATTGGAACTTTCAACGACAACAAACCCCCAAAACAACAACTGGAGGCTTGTAGAGGGTTGATCGACAAAGGGGTGCAAATGGGGTACGTCGATAAAGATTATAAGTTGTTTGGGGCAAGACAATTTCAACCCCCGTTGAGTCCCGGAGATGCCCTGTACGAAGAGATTAAAATGTGGAAGCACTGGTCGAAAACTACTAAATAAAGACATGTATTCGTTGTTATAGTGGGTTGTAACCCATAAATCAATAGTGACGTTCCTCCAGGATTTCCACGAAATCCGTTGTGTTATCTAGGAGATAAATTATGACATTTGATGGTTCAGTTTTATTTATTTTCCATAAGATAGTAGTAGTTATGACGTCATCAAAAAATCTTATTCCACTTCTTAGAATTAACATGTGATGGACTGCAGTTTAGGCGTGATAATAATATCACTTGTGGTTTAGACGTTTCATCGAATACGCAAATCCTTGATAATTTAGCGCATCTGACCCATTCAAAGCGCATGTTTAAACAAATTACGTCAAAATTTTGGCCGCATTTATTTATGTTGAGCAATCTGCTAGAAATTAATACTCCTTTAAACCAAAGAAAAATGTAACTTTGTGCAGTAAACGAACGATCCATTTGCGATTAAGATCGGAAAATACAGTGACCTAATAAAACTACTATCTATCAAATATTTACATTTAATACCATGAAAATCTTTTAAACGTAAAATTTTTGCCTCCTAGAAAAGTAGACCACTTTCAAGGTAAGTTTTAATTCTAGTACTAGTAGTACCTCACTGATTTCCATTTTAGCGAATGGAACTGGCTGAACTTGCCATTATGGCGACAGAAGAAAATAAAAAACGACCAGTTATACGATTCAAAAAAACACACTACTTCGCCGTCGTCGTTTTACTTTTGATAACTATAATTTTAATCTTGTCCTTTATTTTAGCCCTATTTTCACGTAGTTGTGGCACGTCAGAAATTTCCTCTGCCAAAAATAGCAACACTTCTGTATCCATTGAGCAAGATAATGTAACTTTACCGTTACGGTTACCACCAGATTTGCAAAATTTCGTTATTGAAAGAAATGCCTGGCGTGGAAAAGCACCTACTTCAACTAAGCCTCTGCACCATCCAATCCGTTGGGTTGTTATCTCACACACCGTTACACCTTTGTGCCACACTTTTCGCACCTGTGTTAGAAGGGTCCAATCAGTCCAAAATTACCACACAAGTGGAACAAATAAGATGTCTGATATTAGGTACAACTTTCTTGTAGGGGGTGATGGTAACGTGTACGTGGGTAGAGGGTGGGACGTGGCGTATTCTAACCACGATTCGTCCATCGAGATTACTTTTATTGGAAATTATATCTTCGACCAATTAACGACAAACATGACTGACGTCACGAAGAAACTCTTAGACTACGGTGTGAAAAGTGGGAAGCTTTCCGAAGAATATAAATTAGTGGGGCATAACCAGACTGCTGCAACTCAAAGTCCTGGACGTAACGTGTTTAGAGAAATTAAGACTTGGCCCCACTTTGTGCCCGGAAAATTTTCTGTGCTTTCGTAGCCACAATCAACGTTTTTTCCCATTAAGTTGTATATGTTATCTTAAAATGTACACAAAATAATACAATTTGTATAAAAAGAGTAATAAAATTCGAATAAATCCTGAGCCCCTGGTATACCTACGCCGCTGTCCTTAGATCCGCCCCTGGTCATGTCACAAACAGAGAACATTGAGAAGCGTCATAGTTTGAATTAAATGACGGTTGAGGACTCCTCGACTTATGTTGGCGACAGTGTTTGTTTCTAACTAGGAATAAAATTAACTAGAAAAAATTTCATATTCGACCATAATTTCTGCTGTTTCGACTTCGAAACTTTTCAGTTTACTCCTATTTATTTTTCAATTTTTGGATTTTACAATTTCTCAATTTTTCAATTTTACGATTTTTAAATATTTCGATTTTTCAATTTCTGACTTTTATCAACTCTTTGTCGATTTTTCAATTAATTGATTTTTCAGGTTTTTTGGTTTTTCAATTTTTCTATTTTTTCAGGTTTCAATTTTTCAACTTCACGTTTTTGATTTTTCGATTTCTCGATTTTTCAATTTTTTAATTTCTCAGTTTTTCTTTCATTTTTCAGTTTTTCGATATTTCAGTTTTGGGATTTTTCAATATTTCTGTCCTTCGACTTTTCCATTTTTGACTTCTGGATTTTTCGATGTGTGGACTTTTTACTTTTTCGATTTTTAAATTTTAGATTTCTCAATTTTTTGGTATTTTAATTTTTCAATATTTAAAATTTTAGAATTTTCGATTTCTAGATTTTTCATTTCAGTTCTTCGATAATTCAGTTTTTCAAGTTTTCGAATTTTTCAAATGTTTTGATTTCTTAATCAATCCATTTTTCGACTTCCCAGTTTTAGATTTTCTGTTTTTCAATTGTCGTTTTTTCAAATTTTCATAATTTGACATTTATGAACTGTCAATTTTTCGATTTTTCAATCAATCGATGTTTTGATTTTCCCATTTCTTAACTTTCAAGGCTTTCGATATTCATGTTCTTCAATTCTTTAATTTTTCGATTTTTCAGGTTTTTGATTTTTTATTTTTTTATTTTTTTAAGGTTTCGATTTTTCGACTTCACTTTTTGGATTTTTCTATTGCTCAATTTTTCGACTTTTTAGGCTCTCAGTTTTTGGATATTTCAGTTTTCGGATTTTTCAAGTTTTCCATTTTTCAGTTTTTCTTTCATTTTTCAGTTTTTGACTTTTATAAACTCATTATTTGTCGATTTTCAATTAATTGATTTTTCGTGTTTTTTGGTTTTTCAATTTTTTTTTTTTTCAGGTTTCGATTTTTCAACTTCACTTTTTTAATTTTTCGATTTCTCAATTTTTCAATTTTTTAATTTTTCAGTTTTGGGATTTTTCAGTTTACTTATTATTCACTTTTTCGATCTTACGATTTTGCAGGTTTTTGATTTTGCAATTTTTCGATATTTTTAAGGTTTCGATATTTCGACTTCAATTTTTTGATTTTTCGATTTCTCAATTTTTCGATTCTTTAGATTCTTAGTTTTTGGATATTTCAGTTTTGGGATTTTTCAGTTTTTCGATTCGTCAGTTTTTCTTTCATTTTTCAGTTTATCGATATTTCAGTTTTAGGATTTTTCAATATTCCTGTTCTTCGACTTTTCCATTTTTGACTTCTGGATTTTTCAATGTGTCGACTTTTTATTTTTTCGATTTTTAAATTTTAGATTTCTCAATTTTTTGGTATTTTAATTTTTCAATATTTAAAATTTTAAATTTTTCGATTTCTCGATTTTCATTTCAGCTCTTCCATACATTTTTCGATTTTTCAGGTTTTAGATTTTTATTTTTTTATTTTTTCAAGGTTTCAATTTTTCGACTTCACTTTTTGGATTTTTCTATTGCTCAATTTTTCGACTTTTTAGGTTCTCAGTTTTTGGATATTTCAGTTTTCGGATTTTTCAGATTTTCCATTTTTCAGTTTTTCGATATTTCAGTTTTGGAATTTTTCAGTATTTTGATTCTTCGACTTTTCGCTTTTTGGCTTCTGGAGTTTTCGATGTGTCGACTTTTTTACTTTTTCGATTTTTCAATTGTTCGATTTTTAAATTTTAGATTTTTCGATTTCTCGATTTTTCATTTCAGTTCTTCGATATTTCAATTTTTCCAGTTTTCGAAATTTTCAAATGTTTCAATTTCTTAATCTTTTGATTTTTCGACTTCCCGGCTTTGGATTTTCTGTTTTTCAGTTGTCATTTTGTCAAATTTTCGATTTTTTAATTTTTCAAATTTGACTTTTATAAACTCTCAATTTTTCAATTTTTCAATTAATCGATGTTTTGATTTTCCCATTTTTTGACTTTCGAGGTTTTCGATATTCCTGTTCTTCAATTCAATAATTTATCGATTTTTCAGGTTTTTGGTTTTTCAGTTTTTAATTTTTTTAAGGTTTCAACTTTTCGACTTCACTTTTTGGATTTTTCTGTTGCTCAGTTTTTCGACTTTTTAGTGTCTCAGTTTTTGGATATTTCAGTTTTCGGATTTTTCAAGTTTTCCATTTTTCAGTTTTTCGATATTTCGGTTTTGGGATTTTTCAATATTTTGATTCTTCGACTTTTCCATTTTTGGGTTCTGGAATTGTCGATGTGTCGATTTTTTTACTTTTTCGATTTTTCAATTTTTCGATTTTTAAATTTTAGATTTTTTAATTTATAAAATTTTAGATTTTTCGATTTCTCTATTTTTCATTTCAGTTCTTCAATATTTCAATTTTTCAAGTTTTCGAATTTTTCAAATGTTTAGATTTTTCGACTTCCCGGTTTTCCGTTTTTCAGTTGTCATTTTGTCAAATTTTCGATTTTTTTTTTTTCAAGTTTGACTTTTATAAACTCTCAATTTTTCGATTTTTCAATTAATCGATGTTTTGATTTTCCCATTTCTCGACCTTCGAGTGTTTCGATTTTCCTGTTCTTCAATTCTTTAATTTTTTGATTTTTCAGGTTTTTGATTTTTCAATTTTTCGATTTTTAAATTTTAGATTTTTTAATTTATAAAATTTTAGATTTTTCGATTTCTCTATTTTTCATTTCAGTTCTTCAATATTTCAATTTTTCAAGTTTTCGAATTTTTCAAATGTTTAAATTTTTCGACTTCCCGGTTTTCCGTTTTTCAGTTGTCATTTTGTCAAATTTTCGATTTTTTTTTTTTCAAATTTGACTTTTATAAACTCTCAATTTTTCGATTTTTCAATTAATCGATGTTTTGATTTTCCCATTTCTCGACCTTCGAGTGTTTCGATTTTCCTGTTCTTCAATTCTTTAATTTTTTGATTTTTCAGGTTTTTGAATTTTCAATTTTTCGATTTTTTAAGGTTTCTATTTTTCGACTTCACTTTTTTGATTTTTCGATTTTTCAGTTTTTAGATATTTCAGTTTTAGGATTTTTCAATATTTCAATTCTTCGGCTTTTCAACTTTTGACTTCTGGGCTTTTCGATGTGTCTAGCTTTTTACATTTTCGATTTTTCAATTTTTGGATTTTTAAATTTTAGATTTTTCAATCTTTTGATATTTTAATTTTTCAACATTTCTTAATCTTTCTATTTTTCGACTTCCTGGTTTTAGATGTTCTGTTTTTCAATTTTTCGATTTGTTAATTTTTCGTTCCCGATTTATCGAGATTTGATTGTTCAGGTTTTCGATTTATCATTTTTTCAATTTTTTATTTTGGCCTATTTCCTTAGATCATATAATAAATAGATACCACCATGCCGTGTTCTTTCCCTAGCAGAGCCTGTGACGACATCCTCCTGTCACACATCTCTCTCGTGCATGGAAGGATTACAATGAAGCTATCCTTGCCTGATCACTATTTGAATTTTGCGCGCCTAAATTTTAGGAAGTATGTCTGAACTAACTTCGTACGAAAGATGTTGACAGCTTGATTTTATAAATAATTCACAGTAGATAATGAAAGGAATAGTAAATTATTGGGCAGCAATTGTGATCCTTTATGATTACATCACTTAAAATAGGATCTTTGTTCTAAATTCTAAAATTGTTTTTTGTACAACAACTCGAAAGAGAGGTTAGAAGAAACATCTGTCAAAAGCGATTTGTTGCGCTGGTGCGGTACAAGGATGGAAGTGAAATAGACATATACAGATGAAATGCATATAACAAAGATGAAGACGTGGTGATCACACAAGGATAGCATTATACTACTCCTCTTGACGTAGAAAACGACAACAGATAGCTTCATGTCTAGTCACTGCTTTCAGTTTGAGTATTGGTATCTATTTATTATATGATCTAAGCCTATTTCGGTTTCTCAGTTTTTCCAGTTTTCCATTTTTTCGTTTTTTGACTTTTCCGCTTTTCCAGTTTTTCAACTTTTAACTTTTCGTTTATCGAATTCTCTATTTTTCGATTTTTCAACTTCATCACTTTTCGATTTCTCGTTCTTTGGATCTTTCAATCTCTCAATTTTTCAATTTTTCGAATTTTTAAATTTTTTGATTTCTCAATTTATCGATATTCTGATTGTCAATTTCTCAATTTATAAATTGTTCAATTTTTAACATTTCGATTTTTCGATTTTGACCTATTTCGGTTTCTCAATTGTTCGACTTTTCGACTCCACGATTTCTTGATCTTTTGATTTTTCGATTTCTCAGTTGTTCGATTTTCAGTTCTTCGTTATTTCGATTTTTCAATGTTTCGGTTTTACGATTTTTTAAGGTTTCGATTTTTCGATTATCAGATTTCTCGATTTTTCGAATTTTTGATTATTTTAATTGTTCATTTTTTTTCTCACTGTTAATATCATACAGTGTATCGAAAACAACCACAAAAATTGTGACTAAAAACATTTAAAAAATCAAGTTTTTTTATTGTCATCGACTATTTAAATTTGGCGCTTGAGGACTCCAATGTCAATAAGGGTGGTTTTGCAAAATCAGCCTGTATGTCGCATCTATATTAATCTATGTCACAAATGTCACAATCATAATCGTGCCGTGACGTAAGATGATCCAGAAAATTGTTATTAAAAAACTGTTAAACTATTAAATCATCACTTTATTCCGTTACAAATTTTATGATCGACCAACTAAAAAAAAATGTGTTTATTATTGCATTCAACACACAAAATGCGCGAATTTTCAAGTAACCAACAGGGACACCAACCTAAACAACCTAGTGACATTTCCGAAAATGCCGCCAGTGCAGCCACCGTTATTTTTGCAGTGGTAAACAACAGTTTTTCGCGAAAACTAACCCACTGTTTTTCTCCAAAGACTGAAAATGGGAAGAACATAACCACCATGTAGTTTCGTTGCATCCTCTCCACCCAACTCGTGCAGTTTCTGTGAACTTTCATAACCGTGATAAAAAATGAAAAGTTAGGTTATGTTGCTTGAATGTGATTCTTCGAAGAACTAGTCTATGCCGCAATTTCTAGAAGCCGGGCTTCGCATTTCACTCTTTCTTACAATAAAATGGTAATAAATCGGGGCGAAATGAAAAGAAAACGTCGAGACGAATGTCCGTCTCCATTGTTGGACGAAAGCCCCAAAAGGTAAGTTGTCGTTTTTCCCCCCATAAAATAAACATTGCGTTTCGATTTAAGGACCAAAGTTCACGCACAGCGCAAATTCGCGCAGGGCTCCAACGTAAACAGCCCTGTTATAACCCCAGTCAAAGAAATCGAAAAACAAGAAATTGATATCATGCCGGAACCAGTGGAACTTCTCCCCATCAAGCGACCAAACACTGAAGATTTCTTGACGTTTTTGTGTTTCCGCGGCACCCCAATTCTACCCCCCAGTCTAAATTTTTTCAACACGGCGTCGATAGTCGACACGAACGGCCAAGTCCACGAAATCAAAAGCGAGTCGCCGAAGAACGGCCCCATTGACACCTCCGCGATCGCCAAGTCGGGCTCGGGGTCCTCGGAGCGCCCCTTCATAGCTTTCGGAGTCCGGAAACGCGCCGACCCTATTGTGATCAGTCGACAAATGGACAAAAAGCGCAGACATGCGTTAGCCCTCCAAGCGTTACGCCGCAAGTACCAAGAGCAACGAATGGCGAAAATTCGGGCCGTCACCATCAGCAAATTGTCGGAAAAAGTCACCAGTAAAACCCTAGTGAGGTCCAACTCGATCACCAAAACTGAAACCATCACGAAAAAGACGGCGCTTGCCAAAGCTAAGACTGTGGAGGTTGTTAGAGACGATAAAATGACGACGCGATCGGTCAAGGCGGGGTTGAGGCCCCAGATTAAGCAGAAGATGTGTCTGAGGAGCTTTAGAGGGAGGTTTGTGCAGAAGGAGCTGCAGTTCAGGAACGTGAAGAAGCGGCCGCCGCCGCCGGTGAAGAAGTTGAAGGCGGCGGGATTGGCGGGGACTAGTGTGAAGAAGGTGGAGGAAAAGAAGAGCGATGGGTCGGATTATTCTTCGGATGACGAGAAGCCGCTGAAGACGTCTGAGGTGCGGCGGCTGCCAAAGGTGGTGGTGCCCAAGATTGCGAAGAAGTCGGCGCCGGGGCCCAAAAAGCCCATGGAAATAAAGTGAGTTGTGTGAGAGAAATAGTAAAAAAAATATTTATTTATTTTTGGAATTATAATTTTTGGCACTTTTATAGCTTTTTTCGTCGCATTTTCTTTACCTTATTTGTTGTTTGTTGTTTCTATGAAGCATCAGAAAAATTCAAATTTTATAATTTATTTAAGAAACTGGATTTGTTTAATTGTGCTTGTCAGAGGAAGGGAAGTTCTGTCCAAATAACTTTGGACTAATTTTTCTTTTTGGAAGAGATTAGGAAAAACCAAAAACACTTTTTCTACCGCGTACGTTTTTTGGTTTTCTAATAGAGCTATTAAAGCACGCAAATGACGTCACAGCAGTTCGTTAATAGCGGGAAGGCGTTCTTTAATAGAATTTAGTAATTTAGATGGGTAAAATTGGTAGCCATGACGAGAAATGTCAGGTGAATGTCAGTGGCTAATGTCAAATTAAAATTTCCCGTATTTCCGGAGGCGTAAGGACTTCACTAACTTCACAAGACATTTTAACCAAATTTAACTTACAAAAACTCGAATTGATTTGAATTAGTTGTTGTGAAAATTCGAACCTCAAATATTTCGTGGTTAGTGTCAGACCAACCCATCACCAACAACGGCAAAATTCCCCAGATTTCAGTTTTGGAATTTTCCAGTTTTTCTATTTTTAAATGTTTCGATTTTTCACTTCCACTATTCCTAATGTTTCGGTTTTTCGATTTCCAATTTGTCGGTATTTCGTTTTTTGATTTTATTGATTTGATCAGTTTTTCGAATTTCCAAATGTTTCGGTTTTTCGATTTCCAATTTGTCGATATTTCGTTTTTTGATTTTTCAATTTTTTGATATATCAGTATTTCGAATTTTCAGTTTTGGGGTTTTTTAGATTTTTCGGTTCTTCAATTTCTTCATCTTTTTATTTTTCGATTTTTCTTTTTTCCGACATTTCAGTTTTTATAATTTTTCAATATGTATTTGAGTTTTTGGCGTTTCTAAATTTTCGATTTTTCCACTTCTCGACTTTTCAATATTTTGATTTTCACATTTCTCCTTTTTGCGATGTTTCGGGTTCTCGATTTTTCGATTTTCAGATTTTCAATTCTCCAATTTTTTATTTTTCAATTCATAGATTTTTCGATTTTCGACTTTTTGATTTCTCAATTTTTCTTGGATTTTTCAATTATTCTTCGATTTATTGATTGATCAATTTTACGACGTTTGAATTTTGGGATTTTCAGATTACTTAAATTTCAGATTTTTCGATTTCTCTTTTTTTTTTTTTGATTTTTCAAATTTTAATTTTTCGATTTTGGGCTATTTCTATTTCTCTATTTTTCAATTTTTTGGCTTTTCGATTATTCCATTTTCCAGTTTTTTTGATGTTTCCATTTTTCGATTTCCCAATTTTTGGTTTTTTCGATTTTTAAATTTTTGATTTTTCTATTTCTCGATTTATAGTTTTTTTAATTTTTCGAATTTTCCATTTATCGACATTTGCTTTTCTCGATTTCGATGTTTCCCGATTTCTTGGTTTTTCAATTTTTCGGCTTTTCGATTTTTCAAATTTTTAATTTTCACAATTTAGATTTTTCCATTTTCTATTTTAGAGTTTCGAATTTTCGATTATCTGATTTCTCTTTTTTTTTTCGATTTTTCAGATTTTAGATTTTTAAATTGTTTTACTTTTCGATTTCTAAAAATTCAATTTTTGGCGTTTCCAAATTTTCGATTTTTTGGTCAATTGATTTTTCGATTTTTCAGATTTTCAATTCTTCGATTCTTATTTTCATTTTTAGTTTTTTCAATTTTTTTATTTTTCCACTTCAATTTTTCAAGTTTTCAATATTTTAATTTTAGATTTTTCGGTTTGTCGATTTCCCGACTTTCCGTTTTCTCGATTTCGATGTCTCCCGATTTCTTGGTTTTTCAATTTTTGGGCTTTTCGATTTTAAAATTTTTGATTTGTCGAGTTTCGACATTTCGTTTTTTCTATATTTCGATTCTTGGATTTTTCGAATATGTATTTAATTTCTTCGTTTTTCGAATTTTCGATTTTTCAGTTTTTACATCCCTCAATTTTTCAATTCAATTCTTCAGTTTTTTTATATATCAGTTTTACGAATTTTGAGTTTTAGGATTTTTCACTTTTTCGGTTGTTCAATTTTTTGATTTCTTAAATTTTAGATTTTTCAGTTTTTCGATTTTTCTTTTTTTCCAACATTTTAGTTTTATAATTTTTCAATATTTCAATTTTTGGCGTTTCTAAATTTTCGATTTTTGATTATTCAACCTTTCGATTTTTCCACTTTTCGACTTTTCGATGTTTCGGTTTCTCAATTTTTCAATTTTTCTTAGACTCTCCAATTTTTCGATATTTAAATTTTGCGATTTTCAGAATTTTTAAATTTTAGGTTTTTAGATTTTACGATTTTCTAGTTTTTTTAAATTTCAATTTTTTCATTTTTGAAATTATCCTTTTCTCGCCTTCTCGATTTTTCAATGTTTGCAGTTTTTCGAATTTTCGATTTTTAAATTTTTGACTTTTTGATTTCGATATTTCATCTTTTCTATATTTCGATTTTACAAAATCCGGATCTTCGAATTTTTTGTTAGTTTTTTGGTTTCCCAGTTTGATTCATCCTAATTTCGATTTTTCAATTTTCCAATTCTTCGAGTTTTCAAAGTTTCGATATTTCAAATTTGTGGTTTTTCGAATTTTGTATTTTTCAATTAAAAAATAAATTTCAGTTTTTCGGTTTTTCAAATTTTAATTTTTCGGTTTTGAGATATTTCAATTTCTCTATTTTTGAATTTTTCGATTTCCCAATCGGTTCTTCATTTTTTTTTCAATTTTTAAATTTTGGAGTAATCGATTTCTCGATTTATAGTTTTTTGATTTTTCAGTTTTTCGTTTTTTTTTTTTAATTTCACATTTTTAGGTTTTTCAATTTTTCTAATTTTCCATTTTTCCATTTCTCAAGTTTTCGTTATTTTAATTTTAGATTTTTCGATTTGTCGATTTCTCGACTTTTCATTTTCTCGATTTCGGTGTTTCCCTATTTCTTTGTTTTTTGATTTTTCAAATTTTTTATTTTCGAAATTTCGGTTTGTTCCATTTTCAATTTTAGAATTTTTGATTTTACGACTTTCGACGTTTCATTTTTTCTATATTTTGATTCTCTTCTCTCTCTCGATTTCGATTTTTAGATTTTCGATTTCTCAAACTTCCAATTTCATTCTTCAGTTTTTAGATTTTTCAATATTTCAATTTTTGGCTTTTCTAAATTTTAGATTTTTCGATTAATCGATTTTTTAATTATTCCATTTTTCTATTTTTCGATATTTTGATTTTTCCACTTCTCGATTCTTCGATGCTTCGTTTTCTCGATTTTTCGATTTTCAGATTATTAATTCCCCAATTTTTTAATTTTCTAATTTTTAGATTTTTCAATTTTCGATTTTTCAATGTTTCGATATTTGAATTTTGGGTTTTTCAGATTTCTCAAATTTTTGATTTTTGGATTTCTCGTTTTTTCTTTGATTTTTCAGTTTTTCGATTTTTCAAATCTTAATTTCTCGATTTTGAGATATTTCAATTTCTAGTTTTTCGATTTTTCAGATTTTTAATTTTCGAAATTTCAATTTTTATCTTTTGATTCTTGGATTTTTCGATTTTTAGATTTTCAAATTTTTGATTTTTTGAATTTTCAGTTTTAGAATTTTTTAGTTTTAGGTTGTTGACTTTTTCTTCGATTTTTCGAATCGTCAATTTTTTCATTTCTTAAATTTTAGATTTTTTGGTTCTTCAGTTTCTCGATTTTTTTTATTTTTCGATTTCGCCCTCTTCCGATATTTCGGTTTTATAATTTTTCAATATTTCAGTTTTTGGCGTTTCTAAATTTTGGATTTTTCGATTAATCGATTTTTTTGATTATTTGATTTTTCCACTTCTCGACTTTTCGATATTTTGGTTTTCCCATTTCAAGTTTTTACGATGTTTCGGTTTCTCGATTGTCAAATTTTCAATTTTCCAATTTTTTGTTTTTCCAATTTTTAGGTTTTTCCATTTTTCAATTTTTCTTCGATTCTTCAGTTTCTCTTCGATTCTTCAATTTTTATTCTTCGTTATTTGAATTTTGGGATTTTCAGATTTCTAAAGTTTTAAATTTTTCGAAAATCGAAAAATCCAAGAATCAAAATATAGAAAAAACGAAATGTCGAAAGTCGAAAAATCAAAAATTCTAAAATTGAAAATGGAAAAATCGAAATTTCGAAAATCAAAAATTTAAAAAATCGAAAAACCGGAAAATGGAAAAACCAAGAAATAGATGAAAATATTGAAAACTTGAGAAATCGAAAGATGGAAAATTCGAAAAATTGAAAAAGCTGAAAATGTGAAATTAAAAAAAGACGAAAAACTGAAAAATCAAAAAACTAGAAATCGGGAAATCGGATAATCTAAAATTTACAAATTGAAAAAAACGAAGAATTGGAAAGTTCAAACCTAGAGAAATTGAAATTTCCCCAAATCGAGAAATTAAAAATTGAAAAATCGAAAAACCGAAAAATAAAAAAACGAGAAATCGAAAAATTGATAATTCGAAAATAAATTGAAGAGTCCAAGAAAAATTGAAAAACCGAAACATCGAAAAATCGATTAATGGAAAAATCGAAAATTTAGAGACGCCAAACACTGAAATATTGAAAAATTATAAAACTGAAATGTTGGAAAAAAAGAGAAATCAAAAATAAAATAATAAAAAAATTGAAGATTCGAAAAATTTATCAGTCGATTAATGGAAAAATTGAACAATCGAAGAAAAATTGAACAACCGAAAAACTAAAAAATCCCAAAACTCAAAATTTGAAAAAATTGAAAAATCGTAAAATCGAAAATTTTGAAAAGCCAAAAATTAAAATATTGAAAAATCAAAAAAATGAAGAATGGAATTTGAGAAATTAATAGTCTAAAAACTGAAAAATCGGAAATTTGATAAAACGAAAATTCGAAAAACGTAGAAATCAAATACATATTCGAAAAATCCAAGAATCGAAACATAGGGAAAAAAAACTCAAAAACGTTAAAATCGAAAAGCCCAAAAATTGAAAAACCAAGAAATCGGGAGACATCGAAATCGAGGAAACGACAAACCCAAAAATCAAAAATTAAAATATCGAAAATTTGAGAAATTGAAAAATAGAGAAATCGAAATATCCCAAAATCGAGAAATTTAAATTTGAAAAATCGAAAAACTGAAACATAAAAAAATGCTTCATTTTTTTCAATTTTTAAATTTTTGATTATTCGATTTCTCGGTTTCTGGTTTTTTGATTTTTCAGTTTTTCGTTTTTTTTTTAATTTCACATTTTTAGCTTTTCCGGTTTTCCGATTTTTCACATTTTTAATTTTCGAAATTTCGATTTTTCAATTTTAGATTTTTAGATTTTCGAATTTTTGACTTTTCGAATTTTTGATTTTTCAGTTTTTACATTCCTCGGTTTTTATACTTTTAAATTGTTTTACTTTTCGATTTCTCAAACTTCCAATTCCATTCTCCAGTTTTTAGATTTTTCGATTAATCGATTTTTTAATTATTCCATTTTTCTATTTTTCGATATTTTGATTTTCCCATGTCTCGATTTTTCGATTTTCAGATTTTTAATTCTCCAATTTTTTAATTTTCCAATTTTTAGATTATTCAATTTTCGATTTTTGAAAAATAGAAAAACTGAAACATAAAAAAATGCTTCATTTTTTTCAATTTTTAAATTTTTGATTATTCGATTTCTCGGTTTCTGGTTTTTTGATTTTTCAGTTTTTCGTTTTTTTTTTTTAATTTCACATTTTTAGCTTTTCCGGTTTTCCGATTTTTCACATTTTTAATTTTCGAAATTTCGATTTTTCAATTTTAGATTTTTAGATTTTCGAATTTTTGACTTTTCGAATTTTTGATTTTTCAGTTTTTACATTCCTCGGTTTTTATACTTTTAAATTGTTTTACTTTTCGATTTCTCAAACTTCCAATTCCATTCTCCAGTTTTTAGATTTTTCGATTAATCGATTTTTTAATTATTCCATTTTTCTATTTTTCGATATTTTGATTTTCCCATTTCTCGATTTTTCGATTTTCAGATTTTTAATTCTCCAATTTTTTAATTTTCCAATTTTTAGATTTTTCAATTTTCGATTTTTGAAAAATAGAGAAATCGAAATATCCCAAAATCGAGAAATTTAAATTTGAAAAATCGAAAAACTGAAACATAAAAAAATGCTTCATTTTTTTCAATTTTTAAATTTTTGATTATTCGATTTCTCGGTTTCTGGTTTTTTGATTTTTCAGTTTTTCGTTTTTTTTTTTTTTTTAATTTCACATTTTTAGCTTTTCCGGTTTTCCGATTTTTCACATTTTTAATTTTCGAAATTTCGATTTTTCAATTTTAGATTTTTAGATTTTCGAATTTTTGACTTTTCGAATTTTTGATTTTTCAGTTTTTACATTCCTCGGTTTTTATACTTTTAAATTGTTTTACTTTTCGATTTCTCAAACTTCCAATTCCATTCTCCAGTTTTTAGATTTTTCGATTAATCGATTTTTTAATTATTCCATTTTTCTATTTTTCGATATTTTGATTTTCCCATTTCTCGATTTTTCGATTTTCAGATTTTTAATTCTCCAATTTTTTAATTTTCCAATTTTTAGATTATTCAATTTTCGATTTTTGAAAAATAGAAAAACTGAAACATAAAAAAATGCTTCATTTTTTTCAATTTTTAAATTTTTGATTATTCGATTTCTCGGTTTCTGGTTTTTTGATTTTTCAGTTTTTCGTTTTTTTTTTTTTAATTTCACATTTTTAGCTTTTCCGGTTTTCCGATTTTTCACATTTTTAATTTTCGAAATTTCGATTTTTCAATTTTAGATTTTTAGATTTTCGAATTTTTGACTTTTCGAATTTTTGATTTTTCAGTTTTTACATTCCTCGGTTTTTATACTTTTAAATTGTTTTACTTTTCGATTTCTCAAACTTCCAATTCCATTCTCCAGTTTTTAGATTTTTCGATTAATCGATTTTTTAATTATTCCATTTTTCTATTTTTCGATATTTTGATTTTCCCATTTCTCGATTTTTCGATTTTCAGATTTTTAATTCTCCAATTTTTTAATTTTCCAATTTTTAGATTATTCAATTTTCGATTTTTGAAAAATAGAAAAACTGAAACATAAAAAAATGCTTCATTTTTTTCAATTTTTAAATTTTTGATTATTCGATTTCTCGGTTTCTGGTTTTTTGATTTTTCAGTTTTTCGGTTTTTTTTTTAATTTCACATTTTTAGCTTTTCCGGTTTTCCGATTTTTCACATTTTTAATTTTCGAAATTTCGATTTTTCAATTTTAGATTTTTAGATTTTCGAATTTTTGACTTTTCGAATTTTTGATTTTTCAGTTTTTACATTCCTCGGTTTTTATACTTTTAAATTGTTTTACTTTTCGATTTCTCAAACTTCCAATTCCATTCTCCAGTATTTAGATTTTTCGATTAATCGATTTTTTAATTATTCCATTTTTCTATTTTTCGATATTTTAATTTTCCCATTTCTCGATTTTTCGATTTTCAGATTTTTAATTCTCCAATTTTTTAATTTCCCAATTTTTAGATTTTTCAATTTTCGATTTTTCTATTTTTCGATATTTGAATTTTGGATTTTCAGATTTCTTAAATTTTAGATTTTTGGATTTCTCTTTTTTTTATTTTTAAGTTTTTCGATTTTTCAAATTTTAATTTCTCGATTGTGAAATATTTCTCTATTTTTCAATTTTCCCGTTTTCCCAATTTCCATGCTTCAGCTTTTTCGATATTTTAATTTTAGATCGGTTCGTCGATTCTTCGATTTGTCAATTTTTAAATTTTCGAATTTTCCGTTTTCCGAATTCTCGTTTTTTCGAATATTCGATTCATCAGATTTTCAAATTTTCGATACTAGAATCGTCAATTTATTTCTTTTTTAACTTCTTGATTTTCCGAATTAGCGATTTTTCAGTTTTCACATTTCTCAGTTTTTAGACTTTTAAATTGTTTTACTTTCCAATTTATTAAAATTTTTATTCCAATTTTTCTCTCGTCATTTTTACGAAAACAAAAAATTTTCAGTTTCAGAATCACCCGCTCGAACAAATTCCTCTCCACCAAAATCGTCTCCCGACGACAACAAATCAAACAACGCATGCTGCTAACAACCCCAAAAACCATCATAAAACCCCGAACCCTGCGATCCCAGACGGCCCAAAAGGCCCGAATTTTGCCCGACACAAAACCAAAAATTTTGCCCAAAAGCAAAAAAGAACCAGAACCTCCGGCAAAAGAAACAAAAAAGCGAGAACCAACCCCGCCCGTCAAAAAGGTCACCCGGAGCACCGACAGCCCGAAACCCGAACCCAAAGAAAGCGCGAAAAAGGACGAACCCAACGGCAAAAAAGAACCGAAAACCGCCGACAACCCGAAAAAAATCGTCAACAAGCCCGTCGACGCCTTAAAAAAGGCGGCTTCGCCGCCCCCCATTAAAACCAAACCGGAGAAACCGCCAGTCCCGAAAAAGGAGCCAGAACCCGTGAAAAAAGCGAAAGTCGTGGTGAAACAAACCCCGGAAAGTGTGAAAGTCGAAACGAAGAAAGAGGTTTTGGCGAAGAAAAAACCGACGGTGATTTTGCGGAAAGCCGTCCCCAAGCCGGCGGAAAAGAAAGAAACGGTGAAGAAGGTAGAAGACGTGGATAAAAAAGCCGAAGTGGTGAAAGTTGAGAAGGAGAGCGTGGAATTGCGGACCTCGCAGCGACCCACTCGCAAAACTAAAGAAGCTGCGGCTATTTACATGGAGATTTTGAGTCACAAACTAGTCAATGAGGGTAAAGCGGACGACGATAACGTGTCGATTGATAGTTTCCCGGAGCTACCGAACGTGAAGAAAACGGAACAAAGAGAGAACGAACTGAAGGCGAAAGCAAAAACTGCGAAGACGTCGGAGAGCGAAAGTGGAGAGACGAAGAAACCCACTAAGCCACCAAAGGAAAAAGATAAAGAAAAGGAGAGTGACGCGGTAGAAAGTAAGGTTCTGCGATCAAGCGACAAGAAAAAAGTGCCCCAGAAAGCGGAGGAGAAAAAGACTGCGAAGATCGAAAACCCGAAGAAAGAGACAGTGGAAGAGGAAAAGGACGTGAAGAAGAGTGTCAAAGAGGAATTGTGTGAAAGAAAGACGCGCTCGGCCAACGTTGACAAAAACCCAGACAAAGTACCATCCCCTGTGGAAAAAATCAAAGAAGTGGAACTCAAAGTGCACATCAACGCCATCGACGTGGAAACAGAAAGCAAGAAACTCAAGGTGGAAAAAACGGAATGCAAAGAACCGCCAGCCAAAAAGAAGTGTCCCGAAACCAACGATTCCGAGGTCCCCTCTGACTTAAAAAAAAAGAAGTCGAACGACAAAGATAAAGATAAAGTCGAAGTGGAAAGTACGAAAAGGGTGACGAGGAACTCTTCACAGAACATCCGACATACGGAAAGCGACGATTCGGACGAGTCCTTCCACGCCGATATTCGAATACCGAGGAAAAAACAACTAACGAGAAGTAAAGTCAAATGTGAGAGCGAAAACGAAGACTCGCAGAAGTCCAAAACCTCGGTGAGAACGAACGCGAAAACTTACAAAGAATATAGTTCGAGTGAGTCGGATCAGTCGACCACTTCTGATGTTAACGTGAAACCGGTGAAGCCTTCGAAGAACAAGAAATTTACGAAAACGAGGGGGCAGCAGAAGGACGATCAAGGGTTTAGTGATTCGGATGAAGAACCTCTGTCGAAACTCACTCTAAACAAAAACCCGTTGAAAGAAACGAAAGAGAAAGAAGCACCTAAGGAAGTATCGTCAAACGAAAAAAAGAAACTTGACCCTGACACAAAAGACAAAGAAAAACCGCCTAAACACGAAGAGAAAGAAGTCTTCGTTAAGCCGAAGCGCGAATGTGCGAAACGACCTCAGAACTATTTACCGATGTTCTCGTCTTCCGACGAAGACGAGAGCTACTTTCACGGTTTCCAACTCAAGTCGGACCCTAAACCCAGAAACGCGAAAACCGAGAGTTGTTCCCACCTCCCGACCACGTCAGACTTGTCGTGTAAAGACATAGGCCGACGATTTGGCAAAGGCAAAGTAAATATGTCAACAGAGCAAATCGAAAAGTGGCTCAAAGACTCCGCCATGGCTGGTAATAGCGTAAAGAACGAAAACGACGCGATGCTCAAATTCGGGGAGAAGATACCAACCGAAACGTCGCACAGTGTTGCCGGTTCGATCGACACCGAGAAACTCAAAACCTTACTAATTACGACTGCAGACAAACCCGAGACTAAAGAAACCAAAAAAGAGGCACTAAAAGTCGAGAAGGACAAAGACAGCGATAAACAAATCCCCCTGAAGATGCCAACCCCACCGACTGACCGAAAGTTGATCTTTCGCCACAAAGACAAAAGTGGCGCGATTAACGTGAACGCGTTCTCTGCGAGCAACGAGAATAGCGTCTATGCGTTCGGCGAAGAAACTGAAGATGTGATGAAGACGCCATTCAGGAGACCGGTGCGGAGGCCTTCGAGTACGGCTACTTCGAAATCGGAAGATGAGAAGTTCGAAGAAGTCGCTAAACCTGCGCAGTTTAGAAAGCCGCCACTCATGAAACAAGACTCGAATAAGTCGAAAGAGTCCGAAAGCGAAGAGAAGCCACAAAGCAGCAACGAAGAAACCACGTTCTATCCACCCCAACCGGCTCCCAAACTCGTCGTTAGTCAAAAAATCGACAAAAAACCTCTACCACCGGCAAGCAAGTGCAAACAACGCCTCGATGTCTCTGACGACCCGAAATACAAAGTCCCTAGCTCCCCTAGCGCTAGCTCTTCATCCAGCGCCAAATTATACAAGCGACAAACCTCTAAATTCAGAGCCACGGAAGTCCTACCTGTCAAGCTTCCGGATTTCCCGCTAGGTGGCTGCGGGCAGCTAGTGGAAGCCCCGACGTTCCACCCGAACGAGAAAGAATTCCAGGACCCGATAGAGTACATAGAGAAGATCCGACCCAAAGCCGAGCAGTTCGGGATTTGTCGCATAATCCCGCCGAGTACTTTCAAGCCCGAGTGTAAAGTCACCGACGACATGAGGTTTACGGCTTACAACCAGTACGTTCACAAGATGCTGCACCGTTGGGGGCCCAATTTCAAGGAGTTGATGGCCATCAAGAAGTACCTGTCGACGCAGAATATCAGTTTGACGCACCCGCCGTGGGTTAGTATAATTGAAAAAATTTTGGTTGCGATAGGTGAGGAAAGTTGTTTGTAGATCGGAGGGATGGAGATCGATTTGCCGCGGTTGTACCAGACGGTGCAGTCGTTGGGCGGGCTCAAGGAGGTTATTGAGAAGAAGAAGTGGCCGAAGGTGTCCGACGCGATGAAGATACCGAAGTCGGCGCAGGATAGGGTGACGAAGTTGGATGATATTTATTGTAAATATTTGCTGCCGTATGACACACTGTCGCCAGGTACTTGTTTACTTACTGACTTAAGTAGCTTCTAGAATGCGAAATAGTAGGACCTTGGTTTGTTTTTGTTAGCGATTTTATTAAATAGAGATTCTGCGATATATTCTCGGATTCTATGAATTTTTTTCGGGTCGCCTCCAAATTCTCTCGGATCTGGGTTTCTTATTGAATATTATCTATTCTTTCGAATTCTGTTGGATTCTCTAGAATTATTTTCAGATTCTTTCGGATTCACTACCATTGTTTTGGATTCTTCCGGATTTTCCCTGATCCTCTGGAATTCTTTTAGGTCCTTTCGAATTCTTTCGTATTTTTCAGATACATTTAGATTCACTCGAATTTTTCTCGAATTCTATCGTATTCTTTCGGATGCTTCTGGACTCCCTAGAATTCTCTAACTTTTTTGTATTCTTTTGCATTCTTTCGAATTCTCCTGTGTTTTCTCAGATCTTCTCAGAATTTGATCGGGTTCTCTCGAATTCTCTTGGATTCTCTCAGATTTTTTTCATATTTTCTCGGATTTTTCGTATCCTTTACAATTTTCCCAAATTCTCTTTGATCTTCTCAGAATTTGATCGGATTCTTTCAGATCTTTTGGGATTCTGAGAGAATTCGGAAGAATCCGAAAAAAATTTCAAATTCTCTCCAATTCACTTTGATTCTTTCAGATTTTTCCGCCTTCTCGCGAAGTTTTTCATATTCTCGGATCTTTCTAGCATTTGCTCGAATTCTCTCCGATTTCCTCATAATTAGATCAGATTCTTGCTGTATTCTTTCGAATTTTTCGTATTCTCTCATGTTTTCGGATTCTTCCGGAGTTTCTCAGATCCTCTCAGATTTTTTCGTGTTCTATCAATTTTTTTCGGATTCTTTCGGGTTCTTTCCATATTTTTTTCGGATTCTTTCGTATTCTTTCGGATTCTTCCGGAGTCTCAGATCCTCTCAGATTTTTTCGTGTTCTCTCCAGATTCGCTCAAATTGTTTTAAAATTCCCTCAGATTCACTTGGATTCTTTCGCATCCTCTCCGATTTTTTCGGATTCTCTTGTATCCTTTAGGAGTCTTCCAGAGTTTCTCGGAATTTCATCGATTTTCGCAGATTTTTCTCATATTGTCTTGGATTTTTCGTATCTTTTCGGATTGACCATGTTCTGTCGGATCTTCTCAGAATTTGGTCGGATTCTCTCAGCTTCTTTCAGATCCTTTTCACAGTGTTTTGGATTTCTCTCTGAACTTGGATGTTTTCGGACTCTTTTGGATTCTTTTTGATCTCCTCTGATCTTTTTTCATTATCTGGTAGATACCAGAGAATCTGAGAGAATCCGGAAGAATCCGAAAAAATTTTCGAATTCTCTTTGATTCTTTCAGATATTTTCGCATTATTTCGATTTTTTTTTTTTCTCGGATCTGTCCAGAACTTGCTTGGACTCTCTCACGGAACTCCTCCGAATTAGATCGGATTCACTCTTATTTTTTCGGATTCTTTCCGTATTTTCGGATTTCGGATTTTTCGTATTCTGTCATGTTTTAGAATTTTTTTGAATTCTTCCGGATCTTCCCACAATTCGCTCGGATTCTCTCCGATTTCCTCAGAATTACATCGGATTCACTCGTATTTTTTCGGATGTCGAAATTCTTCGTATTCTCTAGGGATTCTTCCGGAGTCTCTCGAATTCTCCCAGTCTCTCGGAAATTTCCGGAGTCTCTCAGATCCTCTCAGATTTTTTCGTGTTCTTTCAGATTCTTTCGAATCGTCCCAGAATTTGCTCAGATTCTCTCTGATCCTCTCAGAATTTGATCGAATTCTCTCGTATTCTTTCGAGTTCTTTTCGGATCTCGGATTTTTTCTTCTTTTCTGGGATTGTTTCTCTCAAAATTTTTCGTAATCTCTCGAATTCATTCGGATTCTATCAAATTTTGTCGCATTTCTCATGTTCTCGGATTTTCTCGCATTTTTTCGAGTTCTGTCAGTTTCTTTCGAAGTCTGTCGGATTATCTCAGATTTTTCGTATTCTCTCGAATTTTTTCTCGCTCTCACATATTTTTTCGGAGACTTTCGGATTCTCTCGGATCTTCCCAGAATTTCCTTGAATTCTACGCGATTCTCACAAAATTTGATCGGAATCTCCCGTATTCTTTCGAATCTCCTCAGAATTTAGTTGGATTCTCTCGTACTTTTCCCCCCAAATTATTTTAAAATTCTCTCAGATTCGCTCGGATTCTCGTGGATTCTCTCAGATTTTTTCGCATTTTTCGTATCCTGTCGGACCTTCACAGAATTTGGTCGGATTCTCCCGGGTTCTTTCAAATCCTTTTCGAATTTCTTTCGTATTCTCTCTAATCTTAAATCTTTTCCGATTCTCTTGTACTCTTTTTAATTCTTGTGAAATTTCCCGCATTCCTTCAGATTCACTTGGATCTTTTTTTAATTTTCTAGTATATTTTCCGATTCTTCCGGATTCTCCCAGATTCCCTCGAATTCTCTTGGATTCTCTCAGATTTTTTCGCATTCTCTCGAATTTCTCTTGGATCTCCTCAAAATTTGCTTGGATCTGCCCGTTCCTGATGGAATTTGATCCAAATCTCTCGAATTCCTTCAATCTCGGATTTCTTTTATTCTGTCATAAGTTTTCGGACTCTCGCAGTTTTTAGTGTTCTCTCGGATTATTTCGAAATTTCTTGGATTCTTCCAAATTCTCTAGAATCTTTCCAGAATTTGCTCGGGTTTTCATATTCTGTCGTCTTTTTCGATTATTTGGTATTCTTCCTGATTTTTTTCCTGGTTCTCTCTTATTCTCTCGGAATTTGGTCGGATTCTCGTATTCTTTCAGATCTTCAGGATTCTCTAGAATTCTCTCAAATTTTTTCGTATTCTCTAGGTTTTTTTTTTATTCTAGTGAATTCTCTAAGAGTCTCCCGGATTCTTTCGAATTCTCCCGTATTCTCTCGGGTCTTCTCAAAATTTCGTCGGATTCTCTGGTGTTATTTCGGGTCCATTTCGGATTCTTTTCGTACTGCCTTGGAGCTCAGATTTTTTCAGAATCACTCGTATTCTCTCGGATTCTTTCGGAATTTTGTGCAATAAATTATATATATCTCTTGGATTCGTCCGGATTCTTCTTGTATTCTTGTGTATTCTTTACATATTTTTTCTGATCTCGGCTTTTTTTGTGTTCTCTAGAATTTTTTTGGGTTCTCTCGGATTTTCTCAGATTTTTTTGGGTTCTTGGATTATTTCTGAATCTCTCGAATTCTTCCGGATTTTCGTATTTTTTCGGGTTCTTTTCGTATTTTTTCTGCTTTCAGATTTTTTTGGATTCCCTCTTATTTTTTCGGAATCGTTTCGTATTCTTTCGGGTCTCGGATTTTTTCGTATTCCTTCGGATTCTCCTGTATTCTCTCGGATCTCCTTAAAATTTTATTGGATTCTCTTCGTACTTCGCAGATTCTTCCGAATTCTTTTCGTTTTCTCAAATTATTTTAGAATTCTCTCAGATTCTTTTCGGATTCTTCCAGATTTTCTTGGATTCTGTCAGATTTTTTCGTATTGTCCCAAATTTTTTGTACCCTTTCGGGTTATTCCGTATTCTATCGGATCTTCTCAAAATTTCTCTGTTTCTTCGAAATTTTTTCATATTCTCTCTGATCTTTTCCAATTCTCTTGTATACTTTTGGATTCTTGCGGAATCCCCCGAATTCTTTCGGATTTATTTGTTTTTTTTTTTGTTTTCTACTATATTTTCGTATTCTTCCGGATTCTCTAAAATTTTTTCGCATTCTAGAATTTTTTCGTGTTCACTCAGATTGTTTCGGAATCTCTCGAATTCTTCCGGATTCTATCGGATCTTCTCAGAATTTGATCGGATTCTCCCGGATTCTTTCAGATCCTTTTCGAAATTTTTTCATATTCTCTATGATCTTCGATCTTTTCCGATTCTCTTGTATTCTTGCGGAAACCCCCGAATTCTTTCGGATTCACTTGAATTTTTTTTAGTTTCTAGTACATTTTCGTATTCTTCCGAATTCTCTCAGATTCTCTAGAATTCTCTTGGATTCTCTCAAATTTTTTCGCATTCTCTCGAATTTTTTCATGTTCTCTCAGATTGTTTCACAATCTCTCGGATCTCCGATTTTTTCGTATTCTCTCATGTTTTCTTCTTTCGGAGTCTCAGATTCTTTCGAATTCCCTCGGATCTTCTCAGAATTTGCTTGGATTCTGCCCGATTCTCATGGAAATTGATCGGAATCTGTCGTATTCTTTCGGATCTCGGATTTTTTATATTCTCTCATAATTTTTCAGTTTCTCTCACATTTCTTGATGTTCTCTCGTATTCCCTGATAAGTTTTCGGATTCTCACATTTTTTTTGTGTTCTTTGGAATTCGTTCGGAATTTCTCGGATTCTTCCGGATTCTCTCCTATCCTCTCAGAATTTGATTGGATTCCCTCGGATTTTTTCGTCTTCTCTCGGATTATTTCTGAATCTCTCGAATTCTTCCGGATTCTTTCGTATTTTTTCGGGTTCTTTTCGTATTTTTTCGGATCTCGAATGTTTTCGTGTTCTATCATTTGTCTCGGATTCTCTTCGATTTTTTCGTCTTCTCCCCAATTCTTTCCGAGTCTCAGGGGTCAATTCCAAGTTGGTGGCGCAAGTCAGTGGTGCAGCGCAACTTTATAATGCTAATTTGGGTATCAAATGCTGGTTGCTAGGGGTGACGGAATAAACAAGCGCAATTTTTCGAGATAAATTGCGCCAACTTGCACTGCCTACTAGAGGTGCCGCAACTCCATGGTGCAAATTTCAATGGAAAATTTCAATTTATCTCGAAAAATTGCGCTTGTTTATTCCGTCACCCCTAGCAACCAGCATTTGATACCCAAATTAGCATTATAAAGTTGCGCTGCACCACTGACTTGCGCCACCAACTTGGAATTGGCCCCTTAGATTTTTTCGTATTCTCTCGGATTTTGGCGTGTTCTTACGGATTCTTTCAGAGTCCTTCGGATTCTCTCGGATCTTCCCAGAATTTGCTCGGATTCTGTCCGATTCTCACAGAATTTAATCGGAATCTCTCGTATTCTATCCGACCTCGGATTTTTTTCGTATTCTCTCGCATTCTTTCGGATTCCCTCGGATTTTCTCAGAATTTGCACCTATCCTCCCAGAATTTGATCGGTTCTCGTATTTTTTCAGATCTAGAATTTTTTCGTGTTGTCTAGGATTCTTTCGGAATTTCTCGGATTCTCTCCGAATTTCATCGGATTTTTTCGAATTCTTTCGGGTTCTTTTCATATTTTTTTGGATCTCGGTTTTTTTCATATTTCGAATTGTTTCGTATTCTCCAAATCTTTTTGGATTCTCCTCGAATTTTTTCGTATTCTCTCGGATTTTTTCGGCTTCTTTCGGATTAGCTCGGATTTTCTCAGAATTTGCGCCTATCTTGTCAAAATTTAATCGGTTCTGTCGGGTTCATTTCGTTTTTTGTCGGATCTCGAATTTGTTATTATTATCTCAGAAGTTTTCGAATTCTGTCGCATTTTTTCGTGTTCTCTAGGATACTTTCGGAATTTCTCGGATTCTCCGAACTTGATCGGATTTTTTCGTATTCTTTCGGGTTCTTTTCATATTTTTTTGGATCTCGATTTTTTCCGTATTGTCTTATATGTTTACAGATTCTATCGGATTTTTCCTCTTCTCGGAGTCCTTCGGAGTCTCTCTTATTCTCTCCCTTTTTTTCGTGTTCTCTCGGATTCTTTCGGATCTTCCGAAAATTTACTCATATCCTCTCAAAATTTGATCGGATCCTCTCGTATTTTTTTGGATCCTTTTTGTATTATTCTGTCATATGTTTTCGGATTACCTCGGATTTGTATTAAAAATAGACGTCTGTGCAATCTCAAAAAAATAAGGAGACTATAAATAAAAAACTTCTTATTTCATTTTTAGAAATTCTGCCAACAGCGTAGCGTTATTATTCAATTGATCTATTTATCCCCACCAAAAAATTGATGACGTCGTCACAAAATTTTTATTTGACTTATTGTAAATGTTGTCGATTTCAGCCGAAAGGGAAAAACTCTTCGACGAAGTCGAAACCGATTGGGCAAAACGCGAATCTAAATCCCTGCTCAAAGCTCAACAAAACGTCGACGAAAACAGCACGGAAATGGAGTCGGAGTCGGACGACGAAGCCGAAGAGTGCATAGTGAAGGGTCGGAGCATGGCGTTGAACGCCTTTTATAGAATAGCTCGAAACACGATGAGCATGTGGTTCAAAAACCCCGAACCGTTGGCCGAGGAGGTAAAACTTCAAATTACTACAAACACATAACACTAAACACCCGTCCTTCAGGTGGAACTGGAGTTCTGGAAGCACGTCACCCTCAAACAAAACCACATATGCGTCCACTCCGGGTCCATAGACTCCGGCAACTGGGGCTACGGCTTCGCCGTGAGCAAAAACAGCCCTTTCGCCCGCCACTCCTGGAACCTCAAGGTCTTAACCAACAACAGCGGCTCGGTCCTGCGGGCTATGGGTCCCGTCATGGGCGTAACCGTCCCCACGTTGCACGTGGGGATGGTGTTCAGTTCGTGCTGCTGGTACCGGGACCCGCACAGCCTACCATGGATCGAGTACCTGCACACCGGGGGGAACAAGATCTGGTACGGCGTCCCTAATTCCACGGGGACGGCCTTCCACGCGGCTCTTAAGTCGCTGGTGCCCAATTATTGCCGAAATAAGAGTCTCTGGCTACCGTCGGACACGGTCATGGTGCCACCGAACCTGCTCATAGACAACGGGGTGTCGCTGTGCAGGATAGTGCAAGAGCCGGGGCAGTTCATCGTGGTTTTTCCGAAAGTATTCACCTCGAGCTTAAGTACAGGTACGTACGATAGAGTGTTCAATGCAGATGCTGGTCCCATCTGTTATTCAGATAGATTGGGGCGTGCAACAAATACGACGCTTAAGTTAAGGTGCCTTGGCAGTCAGATCAGAAATGCACTCGAGTGTTACTAATTTGTACTATGGATACTGCAACCCTCTATACTTTATGCTTTTACCTGCATCTTTTCGCTTGCGGATTACGGATTATGTTCAGTGGGAGGGTTTGTAAGTAGATTTGAGATAAGACTTCTCAGAAATTTGTCTGTGCCGAATTTCGCACACCAAATTACTGCAATTCTTTGATTTTCAATAAATATACTTATACATACTCAAATCGGGCTAAAGGAATCTATTGAAACACACATTAACATTTTATTTAAAAATTAGGCAAATTAAAAAAATATACATATTTAGACTATATACAATTTTACTTCGCACACTTTTTTTATAAATCCGAGGATTTAATTGCTCGCAGCGGCAAATTTCTTCTTTTTCGCGAGTCTAAAATTTCAGGAAGCAGTGCTGACATATAAAATCGTTGTAACGGCACCGCCATAAAATTTTGCCAAAAAGTATCATTTCTTTTTATTATTTGCCAGTGCACATCTTTATTCGTATATATTACAAAATAGCATATATTTCGTCCAGTTATGTGCAACTGACCTTGTACTTGGAAATAATACCTGTGATTTGTTTTTAATTTTATTTTGTTAAATTTATCAATTGTGCAGTAAGAAATAATTTTTTTGCTAACAGCCTGTTTTACACTGTAGTCGCGGGCTGAATAAGGGCATTTCACTTCCATTATTCCGTCGTTCCCAATAATTTCATCTGGTGAAGAAGCCAAAAATCTTTCATTTTGATCTATAAATAAACCGCAGGGTTCAACTTTTAGAGAGCATTTTTTCTCAAACGCAGCAATAGCTTTTTCTTCGTTAATAATTCCATGTAAAATCGGAGCAGTATTTGAAGGTCTGGCATACAAAATGTTTTTCACTAAATTGGCAGTAGAAGTTGTAGGTCTCATTTTGCACACTTGTCCAAAGTAGCTTGCAGTCAGACGAACTGATCTTTCCTTCATCCATAACGGATTTAGTCGTTGTCCTCGTGTATTTTCCTCTACAAAGTCTAAATCGCTTTTGTCCAGTCCTTCCAAAAATCCTTGCTTCAATAATTCCAATTCCTCGGTACTTTTGTCTTCAAATGTCTCGTAAGCATTACTTCCGTAATCATTATCCTCAGAGTGGAATGTTTTATTTTTGGTTCTTGGCCTTCTCGGAATTGTAACGATTTTTTTGTCACAATGACTTGACGTATATTTTCCAAGTTTTCCAGACTTATTGAAATATCTCTCAACAGATGAAATAAATGATTTTTTATTAAACTCTAGTGCAGCTGCATAACACCGGGTTTCATAGCTTCCTGAAAGTGAAAAATTTATGCGCTTTCCTCCAACAAATTTATTAACTATGCTGTTAAAATTTTCGGCTAAATTGTTGTCAACATCGTGAAGTAAACTACTTGCATTATTGGCAACACGAGCAAGAGCTTTATTAAATTCCTCAAAAACTCCACATTTTCTAAATTGTTCGTATAAATCGACTTCTCCTGGTTTTTGGCCGTTGCAGAAGTATTTATCTTTACAACCGTCATGATGTCCCATGACATGTTTTGGGCCATTTATTATGTCACTCCTTAAATTTTCAATTTGTGTATATGATGGTCCATTTTCATTTTTTCTATACCGAAGCGCAGAAACAATGGCAGTACGTAGTCGTAGTATACTACTTTGCAAAAAAAGACGAAGTTTCATGTCAATCTTTGCAGACTTAAATAGTTCACGCAGCTTGTTACAGTAATTTCTTAGGATATGGTTCCTGCATTCGATTTTTTCAATAAAAAAATGTGGTCCATATGGTTTACTATCACGAGTCTTTTTGTAAACACTGCTGTCCCCGTCGCCAATAATTCTACCATATTTTATTCCATGTGTTGCAAGGGAACATTGGAATCCTTCTAAAATGATTTCTGACTCCATAGATGTTGCTGTACCAGACCAATTCTTAAAACATCGATGGTTTGGAGCTGATGGACGTGGCTTGGTTCTGTCACATGTAAAACAGTATTTATTTTTTACGCCGACATATACAATTTTTTTCGTACGAGCCCCTATAATACAAGCAACTCCAGACAGAGCGTTGTAATTTGACTTGTATGATCTTTTGCACCAAGCACCATCTACAATTACTGTAATAATAGGAAGTCCGTCGTCATCAGCGTCTCCAGCTTCGACAGCTAATTTTGCTTCTTCTTTTCCAGCTTCTAAAAAATTTTGTTCCGCTACTATTCTCGTAACATCCTGAATTTTCTCTTCAAATTTCTTATATGTGTGATGTGACATTTTCGGAAAATTCATGGCCCCAAATAAATCACACAATTGTGAAAAACCTATTCCAGAGGCATATGCACCTACTATAACACTCTTATTTATGTCTATTTCTTTGTCACTTTCATCATTGGTAGTGAAGTTACTAGTGAAATTGCACACACGACATTTGGTAAAAAACGTGCTTGCTAGACCTTGACGTTTTTCTCCAACAATTTCGATGTCGTAGAAGTCGCAACCAAAACCGACATGTTTCAGCGATTGTAGAGATTTCCACAAATGTTGTATATCCACCATTCGTCGCCCTTCAATTTTTATGTTTTCTTTTGGAAAAGAAATATCTTTCTCCACTTCCAATGCCGGAAATTCCTCATTACTTTCCTGAGCTAGTTCATTTTCCAAATATTCATCTTGATTGGTGATTTCGGCTGCTCTATAAAAAAACACCAAATATTAATTTGTAACAATTTACAAATAAATGTTTTTTTTGTGACGGTTTATTGAATTATTGCAGCTTTCTGCTGGTGCAGTAAAACTAAGCGCTTGAGCAGTTAAACTAACTTTAAAGTAATAGAAATGAATAATAACAGAAGCTATAATCTCTGTAAGAAGCTTTCCAGGTACTAAGGGTTGCGCCTATTGTTCATTGTTATTAGGACAAACTAATCCTCATGATAGGTCTGTTTACTAATAATACGTTTATCCGAACTACCTGCAGTTCAGTACCTGGTGATATATACTTCTTACTTTAAATTAAAAGAACCGTAATTAGAAATGATTTATATTGAACATTAAAGATATCAATGTATTGATATCAATATCAATATCAGTGTAGAACTACATTTTTTCATTAACAGATCTATGATCAAGTAAATCTAAATCATTTAAGTAGGCCGGTTTATACAAAGCGAACTAATAAATATCGTCGATTAATTTAACCGAGGATTAAAATGTAGAATGTGAACCCGTAATTGGCTAAAACATGCACGTTGCCTAGCAACGGATCTTTATTAAAAGTTAATCGCGAATTAACTTTAATTCGCTTTCTATAAACCGAGTCTTAACAACTATTAATTTATTATAAGTATAAAAAGAGCTTACCTCCTTCTAGCATGGACATGTTTCATCATCTGTTTTCTGCTTTTTCTTCTGACACCAACAGTTTTTGATTTTTTACTGTGTACACCCATTATTTTTAAAATGAAACACTCTCTTTACTTGGCAAGTAAGAAATGAAAACCATTTTGCAATGAGGTTATTTATATACGATGTATCCGTATACTATCCTCAAACGTATTTGGCGTTTATGACTTCACACCAATTTGACTCCCATTATAATTCAATAGGCCGTCACAACCGGATGTCTTAAACCCGCTCACTGATACCTACCTGAAAAGACCTTTTCTGGTAAAAGCACAGGGCAGGACTGAGTTTTGCATTTACCGACAACTGCGCCTTTCGAGTTTTTTATTTTAAGTAAAAACAAAGTAACTTTGTACTCAATCATTTTTTATTACAGCACAACTATTTACTTATTAACTACTACTGCTTATTTATTGATCGAAATAGTCACTGTCATCATCACTCGACTCTTCTAAATTAATAATTAACGGTGTTATCAACCGTGCCCTGTACTGGTCTTCTTCTTTTGTGGAATGTCGTACACAATTGGCCCACATTTCGGCAGTTATTTTGGAAGCTTCTTCCCTAATTATGTCAATTGTTGCACTACTAAATTTTGGTGCCGTATTATTCCTTCTTATATTATTTTTCATTTGCGACCAGATTAGTTCGATGGGGTTAAATATACAATGGTACGGCGGAAGTCTAATCACCCTAAATCCACGATCTCGCGCCATAGCATCTATTTTATATTTTTTCTCAAATTTTCGAGTGTGTAACACTTCTAATAATTGTGTCAAATTCGCTCCGAAGCCAGGTAGGTACAAGCATTAAGGATTATATTGTTTGAGAAGTATTTCTTGGAAGTGGTTAACGACTTAAATCCGGTCCCTTATTATTTTCGGAAATTCCGTTATTTAAGTGTATTAAAAGTATGTTTGAGACGTTATCCTGTTACTTTTCAACTTGAGTTTGCTTTGAAAGCATTTAAAACAGTACACGTATGTCAATATGTCGAAGATAACTCAAATTAATTTATAGATTAAATCTTTTCCTGAATTTATTCTTCAAGAAGGCACTGTGTTTTGTAGCTTCTGCTACAAACCGCATTTCTACTTACAAATGTATGTTTTTGGGATCACCGGCAAAATTTTTTGCTACAATATTTCGAAAAGTATTTAAAAATAAATTGTTACAAAAATACTAATTAAATGGCCTGTTATTATTTTTTTTTATTTATTTGTCACTATTTAATGTAAGACAATAATTTTTAAAAATTTTAACAAACAAAATTACTCTGTGTCCGGTCCTTCGCGTCTCGACCGTCCCTGGCACGTGGCATGGTTTACATTTACTAAGTTTTATGAAGGGTCGGCTGTAAAGTACTTTAAACGTCAAAGCCATAAACGCCAAATATCTTTGAGGATAGTATACCTGCCGGTCTTATCAGCTCAATAAGCTACCCCTGCTAATCCGTTCTTGGAAGTCCCGTGTCGGAGTAGCAACTTGTCTCCGTCTTTGTGAGAATGGTTAAAATTGTATTTATGGTTGCATAATTTACTTTTTTTAATTTATAATTTACACAAAAAATTGATGAATTGAACGGAAACGAAAATAATAGCGGGCTAGTGTAAAATATATTCTATTTAATGGTTTTTTGAAATTTTTAAAACAGTCAACATTAGCGATAATATTTCGTTTTAAGTTTTAAACGTTTTTTTCATTTTTTTAAATAACGAAAACTGTTTTTTCAAAAATATAAGAATAGCGGGGTAGTGGGTAAAAAACTGTATCGGAAACAGTTGCCATATTTTTTTCATCTATTAAAATAACAAAGTAAAAACGTTTGGAAATTTGTGGCTTTGGCGGTCTTGATGCCAAGGCACCTTAAGTCGGCGACGTAAATTTGAACACATTTTGGAGCGTCGTTTGAAATTTGACAATGTAGAGTGTTCGACGCAGATGCTGGTCCAGAGTGACATTGTCGTTTTGCAGGTTACGTCGTGTCCGAGAGCGTGTACTTCGCGCCTCCTTATTGGTTGAAAACCGGCCGGACCGTGTTCGACGAGTTGAGGAACAGCTGCGAACCATCGATGTTCTCTTTCGACAGGCTTTTGTTGAGTATAGTCAATGATGCTAGGTCAAACGTGGAAGTGTTAAGGCAAATCATACCTGCTGTGCAAGAACTCTGTGATAAAGAAAAGGCGGCGAGAGATAAAATTAAGAGTTTGGGAGTGAGTGCGACGGAGAAGTTGCCCCTGCCGGAAACGCCGCAAGTCAGAAAGAAAAAGAAGCTGCATAGTGACGACGGGGAGTACGAGTGTGAAGTTTGTAACGCGAATCTGTTTGTGTCGATGGTGAGTGCTCATCTATAAAAGTGTAAAATGTTTAATATTTTTCATAGGTGAGTGAATCTCAAGACGATGTGGTGTATTGTTTGGACCATGCGGCTGAACAAATAGAGAAGAAGAAAATACAAAGCAAACACTGCAAACTGATGTATACTTATGATGACGCGGATTTGGATGGGTTGGTGGAGAGGATTAGGGCGGCGATTACGAATAAAATGCAGAAGAAAATACCTAACAAATTTGCAGGGATGCCAACTCTTCTGGCTAAACAATAAAAAAAAACAGAAAGAAAAGTGTGCAAAGTTTATTTTACAGTAGGTGTATTTTTCTAGGTTAATATTTATTTTAAATTTACACATTTTATAAGTGTGACTTTTATTACTATTTTATTTTATCAATACAGGTTTTATTTACACTATGTTTTTTTACACAAATACATAGACGTTAAATTCTGCGTCTGAAAATAATTGTTAGTGTTAAGAATTACTTTCAGGCAGATAACACAGATAGATGGTAACTTATACTGAATGTGAGAAGTGTTATTCACGTTATGACCGAATTAGCTATTTTCTGTTAACTAAAGTATATATCACAAAAATAGTTTTGTATCGAATTCTATATTTTCTATAAGAGTGTTAAAATTCGACGAGAAATTTAACAAATCAACGATTAAGTTCTGAAATAAACACAAATTCTATGAACGTAGTTTTTATAAAAGTAGGAACCGCGAACTGCGTTCAAGTTGGTTAGGGGAGGAATGTAAAAATGCCCACAGAAATAAATAAAATAAGATCGACGGCGACTATGACAAACAAAGGTTTATACGTCACGATTAATAATAAAAGCAAGATGTAAACGAGTATTTTATTGCATTCGTTACTAACGCTTTTCAATTATCAAACGCCCAAACAGTTGTTGTTTGTATAGCACACTCATTCGTTAAATCTTGCGCGAAATATTAAAATAAATCCTGCAATGGTGAAACAGCCTGTACAAAAAATGTCTTCTAAAATACGATTTCAGGGCAATTGAAATTCACTGACTAAAAATATTTCTCGTGTAATTAGTAAAAAATTCAGATAATTAACCCAAATCAAATGAAAAGTTTTTTCCAAGACTTTTCACTAATAATAATAAATTTTCTTCCATTTTTCTCTATTCAGAAAAATATTTTTCATTGTTTTATTTACACATTTTGCTTAATACAGTATGGTCCCAGATTGGGTTCACAAGAGGAAACAAACAAAAAACACAAAAATGACAGGAACTTTTTGCTTAATTCAAAACGAATAAATCTGCAATTAAAACTTCAATATTCCTGGTCCGTATTCTTAAAATTATTTTTTTCATATTGCTAAGTTCTTCGTTACAAAATTGCAAATGGAAAAATTAAAAATAAAAATTGGCTGAAAGTTCTTTCGACAAACTTCCCTCGCTCCTGAAGCACAATAAAACATATCCAGCACTTTCGAAAAATGATAAAATTTAATTTTGCGGGTTTTATATTCTTAATGAGAACCACTATAACAAATTTAATAATTAGTAATTAGTAGCTTTTGAGCTTTTATGCCGTAGTTTTTGGGTACCCATGGTGTATTATTTTGGGAGCACTTGGAGATTTTTTTTTTTTTTTGAAAATTTAAAGCAATCTTGCGGTTCTAGGTATTACCGTTTGGAAAAAATTTGAAAGTACTTTGAAGCCTCTAGTGTCTTTTCTAAAATCATTTGCTAAAATCAGTCTTATCTTAGCAGGTACTAACCCCGCCCACCCACCCTCTCTTTTCTTGGAAGATTTGTCATTTGCCAAAAATCAGTCTTATCTTAGCCAATAGCTGCTAAGATAAAACTGATTTTGGCAAATGAAAAACTGATTTTGGCAAATGACAGATCTTCCAAGAAAAGAGAGGGTGGGTGGGCGGGGTTAGTACCTGCTAAGATAAGACTGATTTTAGCAAATGACGTATCCTCTAAGAAATTTAATTAAATAATTATAAGAAAAGACACTAGAGGTATAACATTTGGCCCGCCCACCCACCCTCTCTTTTTTTAGAGGGCATGTCATTTGCCAAAATCAGTTTTATCTTAACAAGTACTGACGACTAACTTCTGCTAAATGATAAAAATTTGGAAACATTACAATTTTGAACATCTTCTTAAAATTCAATTTACTAAAAAAATTTCCTGATTTTTTCTACATTTTTAAAAATTCTGTTGTTTTTCGGAGGTTTGAGGCATCTTTTATGATATATCTTTCCCAATGCTTCTAATTTTGCGGAATTTTGTTTGATACTTTCTAAGAAATATCTAGATTTTTAGTTTTGATGATTTTTAGACCATAACGGTTTTAACAAAATCTGATTACAAAAATCATCATTTTTCAAAATTTTATTGGATTTTTCAGCATTTGGTAAAATTTTTGAAGTTTTATTTCATGATTTTTTTTATAGACATTTTTGTCGAGATTTGTGACTTGTTTCTAAAATTGTCAAAATGGTATCTAGATAATTTTGACGCTTTTAGGATTTTAATGCTTTTAGTAAGATCCAATGGTCCTCTTCAAACCATTTGCGTTTTTTTTATGATATTTTTTTCTTAGTGTCCTTATTGTTGTGAAATTTTGTTTACTATTCTGAGACACTTCCTAAGAAATATCTGGATTTTATTTTAAGTTTCTTTTCGAGATCACAGTTCAGTTTTCAAAATCTGAACTAAAAAAGTCTTCATTAAAAATTTTATTGAATTTTTCAACATTTTAGCATATTTACGTTTCGCTTAATTTTTTTTTTTATAAATTTGTAACGTTTTTGAAGTTTGAATTCATCCTTTTAATGCGTTTTACTGTACATTTTTTTTTTTTTCTAGAGGTTCATATAGAGATTTGCGATTTGTTTCTCGAATTGTTAAAATTGTATCTACAGCTAATTTTGAAAATTTTGAGATCTTAATCTTTTTAAAATTCTGTTGTTTTTCAAAGCCTTGTAATATATTTTTTTCTCACTGCTCCTTGTGGCTTTTGGTTATAATTCTATCAAGTTTATATATGTCATTTGCCAAAATCGATCTTATTTTAGCAGGTATTAACCCCGCCCACCCGCCCTCTATTTCCTCAGAGGGATCTGATTTGCCAAAATCAGGTACTAGCCCTCTAAGAAAATAAAGGGCGGGTGGGCGGGGCTAGTGCTTGCCAAGATAAGGCTGATAGTACCAAATGGCACAACGTCAAAGAAAATAGAGGGCGGGTGGGCTGGCTTAGTACTTGCTAAAATAAAACCGATTTTGGGAAGTGATATACCCTCTAAGAAAAGAGAGGGTGGGTGGGCGGGCCAAGTACCTACTAAGATAAGACTGATTTTGGCAAATAACATATCCTCTAAGAAAAGACAGGGTGGGTGGGCGGGGCTAGTACCTCCTAGGATAAGACTGATTTTGGCAGATGACATACTTTTCAAGAAAAGAGAGGCTGGGTGGGCGGGGCTAGGATCTGTCAAGATAAGACTAATTTTAGTAAATGACGTATCCTCTAAGAAGCTTAATTAAATTTATATAAGAAAATACACCAGAGGCTCCAACATTGTTTTAAGTTTTTCAAAAAAAAAGGAGTCCCAAAATTAACTCAAAAACAGGTCACGTCAGAATTTTCCAAAAATGGAACACCAAAGTCCTACAAAATTATTTTAATGGGTACCCAAGAGCCTCCTGGATTAAAAAAAAAAACTGTGGCACTCAATACTTTTTCAAAATAAAATACTAAACGTTCAAAAGATTTTTTCAAGTTCATCCAGTAACAAAACACCAGGTTCATTTAAATTTATCCGGAAATAAAACACCAGGGGACTTAAAATTAGCGCGGACATTTTAAAGGTATGATTTTGAAAACTTTGACAATTATATAAACAACTGGAAATTCTGAAAGAATAGTAAAAATTTTCCGAAAATGATCCACAAATAAGTTAAATTTCCGAAAAAATCTGTTCAGAAAACTTTTCGTATATTATTATACATCAGAAATTAATTTTGCCATAGATCTTCAAATAACAAGTTAAAAATGGGAAAATAATTTCCAAACCCTTTTCAAAAAACGTCTGAAGAAAATTCAGTTATGAGTCATCAAATAACTGACAAACTTGAAAAATTAATTTGCAAAGAGAGTTTTTCAAAAATTCGTTCCGAATGCAAAATGAAAAACTCAAGCTTTTTGAGAATTCGCCACGGATTATTAGTCTGAAGTCACACTGTAGCTCGTGAAATAACAAATAAATGAAAAAATAATTTCGAAAAAATGGCAGTTCTGAAAACATTGTAATGATTTACCGAAAAATGAACCCGAAAATAATCGAAATTTATGAAAAAGCTTTTTGTGTAATTTCGAAAGTAAGATTCGGGGAAGATCATAAATTTCAAACGGGAGAGGAGTATTGACAAATGAGATTTTGAAAATATCTAAAAAACAAAAAAAAATTGGGGACTATAAATTTTAATATTAAAATTTTAATTGCAGATTTATTAGTTTTGAATTACGTAAAAAATATTATTTCATTAATTTTTTGGTACAATACAAAATACAGTTTTTTTTCCTCTTGTGAACTCAATCCGCGGACATATTGTATATTTTTTATACCCGACTTGTCTTTCCACATTTAAGTATGTTTTTATTTTATGTTTTTAAAGCGACAACAGGGGCAATTCTGAATCAAAATTGTTAAATTTAAAGGGTGTTAAATTGCAAATTTCCATAGTAACGAGTTAAATCCGTAAATCTGATTGGCTGTTTATTTTTTAACAACCTTTAAATTTTAACGGGTTTGATTCAGAATTGGGCCTAACGACATAAAACTAGACAAAAAAAAAACGAAAAAACTTATTTTTACGAATTTAAACAACTATAAAACACTAGACTATTCTTGGATTTAGCGACTCATCTTGTGTTATATAGTCGAATATTTCTATCGCGAAAACCAAACAAAATATTAGTAACAATAAAACTCTTGTAATTTTAAATTTAAATTACAAATTATTCAATAATAATAATAATAAATGAAACAAGCACGAACTGAGGGTAAAACTTTTGAGAACGACCGGTAAAACTTGGCCTACAAACACGGTTCTGGACAACTATTATTAAGGTTTTTTGCGGTTGTTATTTTTTATGAAAAAACCTTGCGATTGCAATTCCAACATGGTCAACCTACATAACATAAAAGTGCTCACTTTTTCCGAAAGCTGCACACACCATTTTTTCTACGTTAGTTACACAAAGCGATCCGGTTTTGCTAGTGTTAGCTTCAATACAATACATAATATCCACACGTTAATGAAATACTCAAAGCACAAAAACGTTTAAAACGCAGCGGGACTTCATAAATGCACTTATGGTCCGTATTTCTTACATTTAATACAATTTAAGTACTTAAGTCTAACAGTCATCAAAATTCAGTCAACCAGTAGTCCTAACGACTACCTGTCGCGACTACGCAAAATGTCAAACAATATCTGTGTATCACTTTTTTCGTCGTTTTCACTTGACAAGTCATAGTGGTTGTCCTCGTTTATAATTAAATGCTCACCCAGCTCGCGTCGCTCGCTTTGAACTTCGTACACCCTCCCCACCATTTTCGAGGAGTTGCGCAACTTGTGTAAAACGTGGCAAGTGATCCCTGAAAGGCAAATAAGCAAGCCTATGACATTTATGGGTGATAATTGGTCCCCGTTCCATTCTACAGCTAAGACTAGAATAAACACCTCCTGTGGGAAAAAAATAGTCATTCAGACACCAAAAAATCAAAAAAATTAGTTGTACCTTAACTATTCCAGCTATGGACAACGTCAAGCTAGAAGTGTACCCTACAACTAATACTTCACAAACTTCCATAAAAAACGCAATGAAAGCCCCAAGCAGCACTTTAAAAACTGTATTGAAAATTACTGTGGTGTCAGTAGTTCTGATTAATTGACAATTTTTTATTACAGTTGGACCTGGAATTTTGTAATCATTAAACAAACTTCCAGAGTGGTTGATTTACCCTCCATCCAGATAGCAAATGGCAGTACAGAAAGAATCATCCACGGTTGCATGTGGAAAATCATGTCAATGGGACTCTTCATACCCATTTTGGACTTCTGCAGCAACAACTGGACACAAGTCCACCTAATTCCGCTAGACATTGACGCTATTATTAGCAACGTGAACCCCAGCACGTCGAATTGCGTCGCCTTATAAGTAAACAAAATTAATCCAATGGTGATCATCCCGACTATAAAAGCTAAACTCCAAGACTGCAAATTGACACTACAGTTACAAATTTAACACCACACCTAGCTACCTTTTTCTCAAGTTTGAAGAGCATCGAAAACCCTAAAATAAACACAACGGTTGTTGATTTTGTCATTGTGTACCTAAAACATTGACGCGTTTATTTGTGAAGCGCTAATTAGTTGCGGTCAACGTACAAAGAGACTTGGATTAGTTCAAGTCCCCAATTAGAGAAACCAATGTCGAGGCCGCTGAACACCCCCATGGGTGCGACCGCCATAAGGTAGTCCTTCCATTCCAACAAAATCCGCTGCTTACCTTGTTTGCGTTCAATCACAGTCCGAATTAGAGTGGCAAGGAGGAACTTCACGACCATATGTATCAGAACGGTGATCAACGGAAAATGAAAACTCTAAAACCACGTTACAACAACCGCAAAATCGTTTTAATTCCGCTTTACCTGGAACAGCCATCGCTGATAAAAAGTCAAACATATGGAAGGTACATAGTACGTCCCGATCAACAGACTCGTGAACAGACTCGACCAGAAGCAGGGGCCGTTGCAGAAGGCGCGTTTCTTCTCCTCGAAGTCCGACGGCTCGTCGTCACTTTCCACCGCTTCGTATTTCAATTTTTGTCGTTTGCCCAACATTTTGACAGGTTATGCTCATGGCAACATGTTGACGAGGTTGTTTTGTCGCGGTTTTTCACTGGTTCACATTTTATGGGAGTTTTATTAAACGGGAACGGTTTAATAGGGTTACTACTTCCGTTTCCTGCTTGCCACCTTCTAACACCGCCTCGTCATGTTTTACAGCTTTTTTATCGCATAGTTGACCATAAAGATTGTTGTTGACGTTTGCGTCATCGATTGACAATTGATTTTCGGGGGATAGCGGAGCGGGATGAAATTCCCTAGGTGTGAGGGCGCTTTCACATTGTCACTATGTTAATTAAGGGGCGGTCACACGGGCTGGAGCGGAAGAGGAACTGCGAGCGCGAAACGACGGTGTGGTAAAAGAGGCAAAAAGTCGTTTACTAATGAGTGGTCAAATATTAAGAGAAGCCGCAACCGTTAACGGTCTATTTAAATAAGAATTTAATTAAATATGCGGGGTACACACGGAAAATGTGGTTATTTTTGCTTATTCATCACTCACCGTTTTGGAATTCGGGGTTCACTGTAGACTGTAATCTTATCGTTTTTTTGTTAGTTTAAATAACGAAATAAAACCAACACGACTGGCGATAACAACATATAAATGATATTTGTGAATTACGGTACGAATTGCGTATTTACTCCTTAAACGTATACTAAAGTTCTCTAGCTTCTTATATCATAATATTTTGTTCCGGATTAGTTTTTGAGACTAGCAGAATAGAATGTTTCGTTAAAAATATCAAGTATAAAATATTTCATTTTGTTACGCAAACACAAGGTTACGTTACGTTATGCATACGAATATGTGTATTACCCCTACCAAAAAGTAATAACGTCATTTCAATAAATCATTAAATAATGTTATATACAAAATCACGGTAATAACCAATGTATCTAGTTTCTGGATAAATTATAAAATTTCATTTTAAGATTTTTTAAATTATTATCATATATTATTAACATACTGTGTTTCAAGCGAGTTTTTAACAATAAAATAAAAACGAAATGAAAAGATAATAAATTAAGGGGCTAAAACACGAAAAAAAAAATCAATGAAAAAATGGTGACTAGAAAAATATCAAAAGGAATAAAATAATATAATATAATAATAATAATATAATGGAAAGTGATAAAAATATGTAGCAACAAAAAAAGGAAGAAAAAACGAAAATAAAACAAAGAAATAAAACACAACAAAAAGATGACGAAAAACAACAAAAAAAGTAAGAAGAAGGTGTCCAAAAAATGCTATAAAAAGCCAAAAAAAAAACAAAAGAGATACAAAAGGCCGATCAAAAAGTGACAAAAAACGAAAAGTAAAAAACGTAAAGAAATGCAATAATATTTAGGGACGAAACAAAGGTTTCAAAAAGACGACGAAAAAAGGGCGATAAAAATGGAACCAAAATAATGATGCAACAAAAAAAGGCGACAACTAAAAAAGCGGCAAAAAATGCGCCCAAAAAACTATCGAACTATAAAAAATCCAGAAAAGATCAAAATAAAGTCAAAAGATCGACCAAAAAAGTTGGAGAAAACAAAAAATGTACGCGACAAAAAAGATGACCAAAAAAAGGCGATATTAAAAAAGCGAAAAACAAACGACAGAAAGGGTTAAAAAATGGAGAAAAAAATAATAAAAAAAGAGCAATAAAATATAGGGACAAAGCACGCGACAAAAACATGACGGAAAAAAGTGACAAAAAAGAAGGAAAAAAAAACGAAAAAAAAGCAATAAAATAAGGGGGAAAAACGACAAAAAAAGGCAATAAAAATAGGCCCAAAATAATGGAACAAGGAAAGGTGCGAAAAACAAACGATAAAAAACTGGCAAAAAAGGCGCCAAGACTAAAAAAATGCAAAAAAAAAACCAAAAGAATGACAAAAGACCGACTCAAAAAATGCAAAAAAGGGAGGAAAAGAAGCAATAAAATAAGGGGACAAAACACGCAACAAAAAAAGGTGACGAAAAAATACAAGAAAAATAAAAAGGGAAAAACAAACTGCAAAAAAATGGACAAAAAGAATATATAAAAAAACTAAAAAATGACCTAAAGAAAGACAAAAGATAGGCCAAAAAAAATGAAAAAAAGGGAACAAAAAACGGAGAAAAAAATACGAAAAAGGGGATAATAAAACAAAGGGAAAAACAAGCGGAAAAAAATATGAAAAAAAAGCGATAAAAGAAAGTAAAAATATAAAGCAACAAACAAATATGACAAGAAAAAAAAAGGCGAAAAACAAAAAAAAAGGGCAAAAAGATGGAAAAAACTCATATTTTAATAAACAGGTTACAAGAAAAAAAACGACAAAAAGTGGCAAATAAGGCCCCACAAAAAAAAAGACAAAAAGATCGATCAAGATGAGTGAAAAAAACGCCAACAAAACAAAAAAAAAGGTATTAAAATAACAGGACAAAAAAGCAGCAAAAAATAAGTAAAAAAACAAAGGCGAAAAACAAATGACAAAAAAGGGGCAAAAAAGGCGTCTGAAAAAATTAAAAATTCCAAAAAAATAACAAAAGAACGACAAAAGACCGACCAAAACAAAGTGACAAAAAAAATTCGAGAAAGGGGAGGAAAAGAAACAATAAAAAAAATAAGCGAAAAAAGATGACGGAAAAGAAAGACAAAACAAACGAACAGAAAATAAGGGAAATAACAAGGCTAAAAACAAATGACAAAAAAGGACCAAAAAATTCGCCTGAGAAAACCAAAAATTCAAAAAAAAACCGAAAGAACGACAAAAGATCGACCAAAAAAAGGCAAAAAAATCGAAAGACGGGAGAAAAGGAAGCAATAAAATAAAGAACAAAACACGTGACAAAAAGATGACGAAAAAGAACCAAAATGATGCGACAAGGAAAATAAAAGGCGATAAACAAACTACAAAAAAGGGACAAAAAAAGGCTATGAAAAACCAAAAAAACTAAAAAAGACCTAAAGAAAGACAAAAGATCGAGTAAAAAAGTGAAAAAAAGACAATAAAAGACGGAGAAAAAAGGTGATAAAATGAGTCAAAATAATGCGACCAAAAAGAGATGACAAGAAAAAAAAGCGAAAAACAAACGACAAAAGGGGAGATAAACAAAAACAATGGGAAAAGTAGGGGACAAAAAAGGTGACAAAAGAAAAGGAAAAAACAAATAATAAAAAGTGATAACTAAGGCCCCCAAAAACGGGACCATAAAAGGCCCTAAAAAAAAAGATCAAAAGAAAGGCAAAAGATCAACAAAAATAAGTGAAAAAACGGCAACAAAAAATAGATTAAAAACACGAAAAAAGGGCATTAAAATAAGAGGACAAAACAAACGGCAAAAAATAAGGGAAAAAACAAGGCGAAAAACAAATGACAAAAAAGGGCCAAAAAAGGCGATCAAAAAAACTAAAAAATCCAAAAAAAAAACAAAAGAACGACCAAAAAAAGTGACAAAAAATTGGAAAGACGGGAGGAAAGGAAGCAATAAAATAAGGGAACAAAACACGCGACAAAAAGATGACAAGAAAAATAAAGGGCGAAAAACAAGCTACAAAAAAAGGGGAAAAAGGCGCCCAAAAACGAAACCAAAAAATGGCTATGAAGAACTAAAAAAAACTAAAAAAGACCTAAAGAAAGATCGAACAAAAAAAATGAAAAAGAAGGCAACAAAAAACAGAAAAATCACGCAATAAAATAAGAGAAAAAAACAAGCGGCAAAAAAATAAAAAAAAAGACGATAAAATGAGTCAAAATAATGCGACAAAAAAACATGACAAGAAAAAAAAGCGAAAAACAATCGACATAAAAGGCAGAAAAAAACGTTAAAAAGAGTGTAACAAAAAACACCAAAAAAGGGAGAAAAATAAAAACAATACAAAAAGTAAGGGGACAAAAAAAGAAAAAACCCCAAACAACAAAAAGTGATAAATAAGGCCCCCAAAAAACGGGAGCACAAAAGGCTATGAAAAAAAAACAAAAAAAAGGCAATAATTAAGAAGGCAAAACCAGCGGCAAAAAAAATGCGAAAAAAAAAGACAAAACACGACAAAAAGAAGGGCAGAAAAGAGCGTCCTAAAGAAAGCGACAATAGAAAAAGTGATAAACAAATAAAAAAAATGCAATAATATAAGGGGACAAAAAAATAACAAGAAAAAAAACAAATGACAAAAATTGACAAACTAAAAACGGGACCAAAAAAAGGTTATATAAAAACAAAAAAGAACCAAAAGAAAAACAGAAGATCGACCAAAATAAATGAAAAAAAAAACGCAACAAAAAAGGGAGAAAAAACGAAAAACGGCAATAAAATAACTGGATGAAACAGGTGTCAAAAAATCACGAAAAAGCGAAAAACAAACAACAAAAAACGGACAAAAGATGCATCCAAAAATTCAGAACCAAAAGTCGTAAAAAACTCAACGATCAAAAAAATTGAAAAAAAAACAACAAAAATGGAGAAGAAATGAAAAAAAGGCAATCAAATAAACGGACAAAAAAGCGACAAGAAAAAAAGGCGAAGAACAGAAGATAAAAAATTTGAAAGAAACGGGACCCAAAAAGGCTATGAAAAATACAAAAAAGAGCGAAATAAAGACAAAAGACTAGAAAAGACCTAAAAAAAAAAACAAAAAAAGATAAAAGACCGACCAAAAGAAAGGCAACAAAAAAATGCAATTAAAGAAAACAGTCAAAAAAAGAACATGCCGCATCTAGAGTTACATTTCGTTTTGTGTCGATATATGACTTAATTAAGGTTAGAGGTTAAAAAATCAAAGGGTTCACAGAGTTCAATAACGGTTAGTGGTTTTTATGGTTACAGTTTAAATCGTATTGTAGGTACTAAAGTTTGCTTCGTAGAATCGTAGATCCCCATGTAACCTTAACCTGGCTGCGTTCCAGTGGGTATAAATGTTAAGGTTTGCACCATTCAAATTTAATGAGGTCATAAAAACATCACTCTTGCCTTTTTACAAACTGTCACAAACAAAAGTGTAACCTCGTGAAATTTGGCGTAAATATGGCTTACCGTAGTATAGTTATTTTGACAAAAAAAAATGGAAATATTACTTTTTTTTTCATTAATTGCTAAATTTAAAAAAAAAAATGTGTTCTTGTTTTTGATGGGCTTGTGTTTGACAGTTGAACTGTCACCAGCAGGGATAATTATTTTGTCACCAGAAGGAATCAACAGGTGGTGATTCGTGATTGTTGATAAAGTTTAACAAAGTACAAACTGAGACAGGTTTATTTGTCGCTCGCTAAATTAAAACGTTCAAACAACATTCTAAACGTTTTTTGTTGTAACAGTAGCAACAATTGTGGCTAAAATAGCACTAAATGAAAGCGCCAACATCTTAATCTATGCATTTATTTACAGATAAAATTACCTTTCATCCGAAACAATTCAACATATACAACAGACGATTTCTATTTCAGATTCACTTATCATAAAATAATTTTGTACATAAAATATAATCTTGGTTTTTGTATTGTGTCGTGTGATCTCAGTCCCGCTAATCCTCAATCGCGCTAAAAAATATAATTTTACACAAACTGCCGCCTATCTACAACATAAATCCTCTGCAGCTAGAACTCAAATAAATAGTCCGAACCCTAGTTACTCCTGTTGTGCCTATTCCTATGCTGGCCCCCCCGCGAGCCCCGCTGCCGCTTCTGGCTGTCCTGCGGGGGCCCGCCGCCCCTGTTCGTGCCGCTCGGCGCCGACTTGATCGGCCCCGTGTTGTTCATCATGGACGAGGAGGTGGTGACCGGAGCCTGCATCGAGGGCCCTATCCTGCCCGCCCCGTTGTTGGTCCCGTTGTTCATCGGCATGTTGTTCGGGGGCCCGCACACCGGCGGCGTCTGCGGGAAGGCCTGGTTGGGCTCGCTCATGTTGAGCTGCTCGTTGAACACCATGCAGAACTCGCCGACCTTCTGCAGGTCGCCCCCCTTGGAGGTGTACAGCGTGAGGCAGTTGCGCCAGATGGAGAGGTAGCCCTTTGTGAGGCGCACGATGTCCCCGGGGGCCAGCAGCTGGCCCGCCTCGTCCCACACACTCGCGTTGATGCACGCCGTCTGGTCCGCCACTTTGAAAGTTCGAACTTCGCGGTTTTCTTTCGTCACGGTGGGGTGGCCGACCTCCAGCACGATAAACACTACGGTTATGTTCTTTAAGCCCGGACGCATGTCCTTGATCTGGACGTAATTGGTGTCCATGGCGGGTGCTTGGGGGCGGATTAGAGGGAAAAAAATGCTGGGGGCATTTTCGTGGGGAATCGGGTGGGTTTTCGCATGCGATGTTGTCGCTTCGAAGCGTAAACGTCAAATGACGGCGTTTCGGGGCGTCATGTTGGTAGTAAAGTGACATTTACGTGTCGGTAATTAGGGGATCTGCGTCATCGCGGTATTTGATTATTTTGTTATCGGGACGAAATGCAATCATTACGTCATGCGTTAATTAAAGTAATGTAAATAGGATCACACATTATGCAGATTCGAACTTGATTATTTTATTAATGCGTTTGTCGTACAGAGGGCGTCGCAATAAATAAAACTAGATTTAAATTTTCCAGTGTAACAATGTAATCAATTTTCTTCAACATTAGTGCGTCTAATACCATAAAGGATCTTATCGTAACATAATTTTCCTAATAAACCAAGGAAATCAGTGTTTTTTACTTCCCGAGCGAATTGTCACTTTCATGTTTTTTTTTCTTGACGTTTCATTACCTCGAGAGTATCAAAAAATAGGTCTCCCGTTTTCGTCTGATTGTCTGTGTCGATTTTTATAGACAGACAGTCTCTGAAACTAGTAGACCGATTGTTGTCAAATTTTATATGTATTTTAGAAATATCGAAATGTGCAACATTATACAATTTAACTCTGAAACTGTAAAACCAAATGCTCTGAAATCTTGCAAGTATTTGTTGTATATGTATCCGTCTATTCCCTGCATAAAAATTAATCAGAATCATTTCAAAAATTTCCTGAATAAATCGTTTCTAAAATACATATATCAAATATTTTGGTTGATCAATGTATTCATATAATTTTAAAAAATAGAATTTGCAACTACAAAAACACAAATTTATGAACAAATTGATTAAAAAACTAATTTGGAAATACACAAAATGAAAAAACTTAAAAATAAAGAAATTTATAAACAAATATCAACAAATTTTTAAACAAATTTATGAAAAAAATAAAACAAAATAAATACACACAATAAAAATAACAAATTTACAAATACACAAACATGCTTATTATAAAACAAATTATACGTAAATATATAAATTTACCAACAAATTCATGAACATAAGCAAATTTATAAATAAACGACTTTATAAACAAATTTTATGAATAAATTTTATAATTACATATAAATCCATTTTATTACCAAATTTCTCAACAAATTACAAAAAATATGTATACATATGTATTAAAAAATTTATAAGTGAATAAATTTCATGAACAGATTTATAAATGAACAAATTTTAACATAAAGAAATTTGTAAAAAAACATTTTTTTTAACAAATAATGCCAGCAAATGCATGAACGAATTAAAAAAAAATTATAAACATTAAATACATTCATATATAAACAAATTATAAAAGCATTTAAAAATAAATTTATAAATCAATTATTACACACTTTTTTTTTACTAATATACACAAATTTATCAATTTTTAACAAGTTTATTAACAAATTAGTTAACAAAATCATCGACTAATTTTGTAAACAATTTTATCAACATTTTAACAAATTATATATAGCTAAAATTATGTTGTATATTTTTCTATAAATATTTTTGTTTGCCGCTTTATAAATGAACAAATTTTATGTACTATGACTAAGCAAATTGTGTAAACAAATTTAAAAAGACACAACTATTTTTATAAATGAATTTAGTGAACAAGTTTATAGACAATTCAATTTTATCAACATGTTATATAAACAAATTCATAACTAAATAAATTTTATAAACAAATTTATAAATAAAAATATTTTTTAAACAATTTTGTAACAAAAACGTCATTAAAAAAATTTATAAACAAATTTAAAAATTAAGAAAAAGTACATATATAATTTTGTTTTAAACTAATTATATAAACAAATTTATGAACAATTTTTATAAACAAATTATACAAACAAATGTTTCATCTATTGTGTCATCAATTATTATAAACAAATTTATCAAAAAATTTGTTTAACAAATTTATGAACAAATTCGATAAACAATTTTATCAACATAAATTTCTCAACAAACTTTAGACAAATTTATCAAAAAAATGCATAAACAAATTCATCCGAAAATTCCATAAACAAATTTAGCAAGTTTTATAAACAAATTTATCAACAAAATTTATGATTAAATTTTATAATTACAAATACATTTTATAACCAAATTTCCTAACAAATTAAAAAAATATGTATATTAACAAATTTATAAGTGCACAAATTTCATGAACAGATTTATAAATAAACAAATTTGTAAATAAACGTTTCTTCTAACAAATAATGTCAGCAAATGGAGGAACTAATTTAGAATCAATTTTTTATAAGGATTAAATAAACAAATTCATATATAAACAAATTATAAATGTATTTAAAAATAAATTTATAAATCAATTAATTTTATAAACAAGTTTAAAAATTAAGAAACTTTTGTAAATTTTTTTAAAACTAATATAAACAAATTAATTAACAAAATCATCAACTAATTCTATAAACAATTTTATCAACATTTTATAAATACATTTACCAACAAATTACATGTTATAATTAAAAATATATTGCAAATTTTTTTATAAATATTTTTGTTTGCCGCTTTATAAACGAACAAATTTTATATACTACAACTAAGCAAATTGTATAAACAAATTTAAAAAGAGACAACATTTAGAAACAACTATTTTTACACATTTATAAACAAAGAAGTCAACAATATTATCAACAGTTTTTATAAACAATTTTTACTAACATTTTTAGAAACGAACAAATTTAATGAACTAGTTCACAAACAATCCAATTTTATCAACATGTTATATAAACAAATTCACAAATAAACAAATTTTATAGACAAATTTATAAATAAAAATATTTTCTAAACAATTTTATACCAAAAAACGTCATTAAAAAAATTTATAAACAAATTTAAAAATTAAGAAAAATGATATTTTTTTTTTAAACTACATAAGTATATATACAAATTTATAAACAACTTTTATAAACAAATTATACACACCAATTTTTCAACTATTGTGTCATCAATATTTTTAAACAAATTTATCAAAAAATTTGTTGACCAAATAAAAATTTTATAAATAAATTTCCACAAATTTTATATAAATTTAGCAAAAAAATTTATAAACAAATATAGCAAGTTTTATAAACAAATTTATCAATAAATTTTATAAACAAATTTATAAGCAAACAAATATTACAAGCAAATTTTATTAAATAAACAAATTCTATAAATTGCTTTGAATATTTTTGTCCATATTGTTTCATTAACTACTATAATTTCAATCAATATCAAAGCAACAAATTTAGAAAGAAATTAATAATCAAATTTAAAAACAAATTTTATTATAAACATTATATGTATAAACAAATATTAAAAGCATTAAAAAATAAATTAAGTTTATAAATAAATTTAAAAATTAAGAAACTTCATATACATTTTTTTTAAACTTATTATGTAAACAAATTTATAAACAAATTTTGTAAATACATGCAAACAAATTTATCAATAATTGTATTAATTTTCATAAACAAATTTTTTAACAAATTCAGTAACAAATTCTATTAAGGATTTTCTCAACATTTCATAAATATATTTATCAACAAATTTTATGCATATAATAATAATAAATTATAAAAAAAATAAAAAAATTTTATATACAAATTTATAACTAAGCAAATTATATAAACAAGTTTAAAAAGAGACAACATTTAGAAATAACGATTTTTACAAATTTGTAAACAAATAAATCAACAGTTTTATCAACAGTTTCTATAAATGAACAAATTTAAAAAATAAATTTATAAATAACCCAATTTTATTAACATGTTATATAAATAAATTCAGTACTAAACAAATTTTATAGATAAAATTATAAATAAAAATGTTTTCTAAACAAATTTGTACCAAAAATTGTTATTAAAAAATTCATAAACAAAATTAGAAATTAAGAAAATTTATATAAAATCCTTTAAACTAATTATATAAACAAATTTATCAAACAAATTTCTTAAAAAATTTAGCAAACAAATTCATAACTAAATAAATTTTATAGACAAATTTATAAATAAAAATATTTTCTAAACAATTTTATACCACAAAACGTTATTAAAAAAAAATTAAACAAAGTTAAAAATTAAGAAAAATTATATAATTTTGATTTAAAGTAATTATATAAACAAATTTACGAACAACTTTTATAAATAAATTATACAAACAAATTTTTCATCTATTGTGTCATCAATTATTATAAACAAATTTATCAAAAAATTTCTTTAACAAGTTTATAAACAAATTCATGAATAAATTCGATAAACAATTTTATCAACATACATTTTTATCAAAAAAATTTATAAACAAATTCATCAGAAAATTTCATAAACAAATTTAGCAAGTTTTATAAACAAATTTATCAACAAATTTTATGAATAAATTTTATAATTACAAATAAATTTTATAACCAAATTTCTCAACAAATTAAAAAAATATGTATACATATTAACAAATTTATAAATGCACAAATTTGTAAATAAACGTTTCTTCTAACAAATAATATCAGTAAATGGATGAACAAATTTAGAAACACTTTTTTATAAACATTAAATAAACAAATTCATATATAAACGAATTATAAATACACTTAAAAATAAATTTATAAATCAATTAATTTTATAAACAAATATAAAAATTAAGAAACTTTTTATACACTTTTTTAAACTAATATAAACAAATTTATCATTTTTTTAACAAGTTTTTTAACAAATTAATTAACAAACCATCAACTAATTCTATAAACAATTTTATCAACATTTTATAAATATATTTGATTTTATATGCTATAACTAAGCAAATTGTATAAACAAATTTAATAAGAGACAACATTTAGAAACAACTATTTTCACAAATTTATAAACAAACAAGTCAACAATTTTGTCAACAGTTTTTATAAACAACTTTTGTTAACATTTTTAGAAATGAACAAATTTTAATGAACTAATTTACAAACAATCCAATTTTATCAACATGTTATATAAACAAATTCATAACTGAACAAATTTTATAGACAAATTTATAAATAAAAATATTTTCTAAACAATTTTATATCAAAAAACGTTAATAAAAAATTTATAAACAAATTTAAAAATTAAGAAAAATTACATCAATTTTTTTTTACTAACTAATTATATAAACAAATTTATGAACAACTTTTGTAAACAAATTATACAACAAATTTTTCAACTATAATGTCATCAATTTTTATAAACAAAGTTATCAAAAAATTTGTTTGACAAATTTATGAGCAAATTCATGAACAAATTCAACAAACAATTTTTTTACATTTTATAAATAAATTTCTCAACAAATTTTATATAAATTTGACAAATTTATAAAAAAATCTTATAAACAAATTTATAAGTAACCAAATACTACAAACAAATTTTACTATTACAAACATTTAGAAGTAAATTAAGTTTGTAAAAACAAATTTAAAAATTAAGAAATTTTATATACATTTTTTTTTAACTTATTATGTAAACAAATTTATAAACAAATTTTTTAAACACATACGAACAAATTTATCAATAATTATATTAATTTTCAGAAACATATTTATCAAAAAAATGTTTAACAAATTTATTAACAAATTCAGTAACAAATTCTGTTAAGGATTTTCTCAACATTTTGTAAATATATTTACATATCAACAAATTTTACACATAAAGTAATAATAAATTACAATTTTTTTTATAAATATTTTTGTTTGCAATTTTATAAATGAAGAAATTTTATATACAAATTTATGACTAAGCAAATTATATAAGTAAATAAGTTTAAAAAGAGACAACATTTAGAAATAACGATTTCTACAAATTTGTAAACAAATAAATCAACAATTTTATCAACAGTTTTTATAAACAAATTTTATAAACGTTTTGATAAATCAACAAATTTAAGAAACACATTAACAAATAACCCAATTTATAAACAGATTTAAAAATTAAGAAAATTTATATAAAGATGTTTAAACTAATTATATTAACAAATTTATGAACATTTTTTATAAACAAGTTATACAAATCTTTCAACTGTTGTGTTTTATAAACAAATTCTATAAACAATTTTATCAACATTTTGTAAACAAATTTCTCAACTAATTTTATACAAATTTAGCAAGTTTCATAAACGAATTAAAAAAAAAAATGATAACAAAATTTATAAATACATTTTATAAACATATTTTTTCTTGCGTAATAGGTTTTGAAGTAGTTTATGAGACTGCTTTGAGATACAAAAATTAATATTATTAACAGCTGACGTAAAATTCCATCATAAACTCGCGAGGTCAGGAACACTCGCTACAATAACATAGCATTTTTCTTGCTTATATTATAATATCAGATACTCTAATATAAACAAAGTAAAAATAAATTAGAAAAAAGTTTATAAAAATTTTATATATTTTTATAAATGAACAAATTTTATACACAAATTTATAAAAAATACAAATTCTATAAAAATAGAGTTTATAAATAAACTTAAAAACAATTTTATGAACAAATTTATGGGTAAACAAAATAATATAAAAATAAATAAATATGCACATTCATAAATTAAAAATTATAAACTAAATAAATTTATAAACAAATTTAGCTATTGCAGATTTACCGCTAGAACTTTTTCGGCCGATCTGAAGTTTGAGAAATTAGATGAAAAAAGTTTTCCTTGCCCAACGTACATACAACGTTTTTAATTGATTATGTGAGTAGTTTTGAGGTTAGAAAATGTTTTTTCGTCGTTGACGGAAAAGCCCCTAAGATTTGATAAAACCAAAGTGCTACTTTGCTCCTATACTAAGAAAAAAAGTGGCACCGATATTCAGTAAACGCAGAGTTCAAATAACGACGCTCTTGCCTTTTTATTAAAAAAAAAATGTTGCTCAAAAACACGCAAAAGTAAGTTTTCGACCTCCGAATACAAAAAAGTAGATATTTTAAAAATTCGGCTTCGACATCGAATATTTCGAAAATCTTGATCCGAAAATTGACTAAATTTTTGGATTTTTTTAAAAATTTGATTTTGAACTCGGATATTTCCAAAAACCAGTAACGTTTTGGTCCACAAGCTCTTATTTTATGCAAAATAACTAAAAATATATAATAAATTTGAAGTCGAGGATGTTCTGGAACGGAATCTGTAAATTTCTGCCAAAGCGCCATCTGCCATTTTTCGCAAACATTACTACAGAAACCTTCCGCCGTAACCACAATCGCCCCCATGCCCCCACTAATCGTAATTTAAATAATAATCGTAAACAAAGATATCCGTAACCTTCGGAGCCCGATTACGACTTGCATAACCGCTGCATTTCCGACGTCACCGTCCATCGATCCGCCTCCCCTGCACATGTCGCGCCGCCTCCACGCCAGCAAAAACCCGACCTTTTTGCCTCCGCTGACGCACATCCAGAAAAAGCCGCCTGATCCACACGTGTGGTCCGTTCCCACCAGTCCCATCCGCGTCGAACCCACAACCCAGCGTCGCGCAATCACCGCCACGAAAATACCGCGTTATTCTTAGCAGCGCGGCGCGCTGGAGGCAGTACCCGATACCCATGGTACAGAAATATAGAAAGTACCGGCTTACATCACAATCTTCCGCGAACAGCGGTCGAGCAGTGATCATCTTCGCGCTATTTTCGCGCATTCGGTCGCCGCCGTCACTTGGAGGCGCATCGCGAATCAGTTCAGTGCTAGTGCGGCCCTTAACCCAGTAACTGGCTCTGGGTCGGAGGTGCTAAAATTAGAAGACGACCGCTGGAGTCGGCGAAATTCGGTCAGCTTAGACGATGCACAAGAACTCGGCGCCGCCACCGTACAGCCCGCCCCCGTCGGCGCCCCCCAGCTACGCGCAAGCCGTCGGGGGTGTGCCGCCCACGAGTCCCTTCGTGCCGCACCATACGTGTGAGTAATCAAGAAAAAGACCTACTTTTTGGAACGGTGAAAGCTAGGTTTTTGTTATATAAACACAGACTAGGCGGTTTCTAGTGTGGGTGCCCCACTTCGACACTTTTTGACGAAGAGCGAAAAATTTGTTGGAATGTGGGTTTTGAGTAAATTTGCTGAACGACGATGACACTGCGTTATGGTTGTGAATAATTAATCGATGATAGGTGAACACAGTGTGGCACTAGGACATCAGCGTTTTTATTTACTGTTACCACTTTTTTTTACCGAAATTTGTGTTATCAGTGTTTGTTTTAACGGTGTTTTTGAATGTAGTTGTACTACGCGAAATTTAATGCAAATACATCGTCTGAAGTGGAAAAATTTATGACTAGAACAAGAAAAATAAAACAAATGTTTGAATATGAAGTTGTTGAACCTGTTAATAAATCAAAAATTTAAATAATAATAAAACAATCTTGTATGAACCGGTCAATTACATTTTTAATTCATCGTAAAAAGCACAGGATTCATTATGAAACAAAGAAAGGATTTGAGTTTCGTCTGACTTTGAAATCTTTGTAAAAAATGTGTCAACCATTTGTCGAAATTTCTTCTTTAAAAAAGTCAAGTCAGCAAGTTTTTTTATTTACAAATTTTGAAAATAATCTAGAAGAAAATGTATCAGTTTAGTTGCTCCTAGCGGCTAGACAACCATTTTACCTAATCACGGGTAAAATTTATAAAAATAGTTTATAAATACGAATCTAAAACAATTTTTGTCTGATTAATTTTTCTGGGATCAGTTCATTTTTATTAGTGTCACAATAGTCATACCAAATTTGCCATATTGCTACTTCACCTGGCTTAATTCCAGAATTTTTTGTAGATTTTTAGCCAATTTCGCCAAAATCGCTACTTTCAATCCCCTCCAAACGAAATTTTTGACTTCCCAGTACCTTGAGGAAATTACCAAATTATTCTTCCAAACTTCGTACCATTCCTACAGTTATCCAAAAATCACCAAAATGAAATATGGCAAATTTTGAAATATGTATTGTCAAAATTTGAATTGCATATTTTGAAATCTAAGAATATTCCAGAATTTTTTGTTTTAATTTTTCTAGAATTATCTCCCCGTATGAAAATTTTGACCTTTTTTTAAGCACTTTCGAAAATTGCCAAAAGAATTTTTGTTGTTGTTTTCCACCTACAGATTTTTTTCGGCTTCATTACTTCGAAAATTTTTGCCGTTTCTTCAGAATCGCCAAAATGTTCCATTTGTCGAGAATCAACAAAAGAAAATTTGTCAATTTTAGAAAATCATAAAAACTTGAATTTCAAACCTAATTCAATTGGATTTTTAGATAACTTCGGTAAAATTTCCATTTTTCATTTCGGAATTCTTAACCGTTGTCCAAGCAGCTTTGAAAACCTGCAAAATTTGTTTTCGACTTCATTGCTTAGAAAATTTTTGCCACTTTTCCAGAATTGCCAAAATGACGTATACCGTTTTCAGTTTTTATAAAAATTTGAAGTGAATATTTCGAAATTCTTGTTTTTGTTTTTCAGTTCAGCTCGTCGAAATCTATGTTCCAAAATTTTTTGTAGATTTTCAAAATTGAATTAGTGAATTTTCACCTTTTTCCAAAATCTCATTTTTTAACAATGTTTGAAATTTTTGACTTTTTCTATAGCATATTCGAAAATGGCCAAAGAAATTCTTTTGTTTGTTTTGATCTACAAAAGCTGTTTTCGGCTTTATTGCTTCAATTTTTCCATAATTGTCAAAGAGATTTTGTAAAAATTTGAAACCGAATATTTCGAAAATCTTGTTCGGACGCCATCAACCCGCAGTGTTGTTTGATTCAGCTCGTTAATCTATATCTCAGAAACTTTGTAGGTTTTTAGATAATTCTCCAAAAACTCAGTTTTTCAATATCCCTGTATGAAATTTTTGACCTATTTCCAAACACTTACTAAAAGTATCAAAATATATTCTTTTGTTGATTTCGACCTCTGGAAGTTGTTTTCAGCCTTATTGTTGGAAAATTTCTGTCATTTTTCCAGAATTGCCAAAATCAAATAGATCGTTTTTGAGTTTCTGTAAAAATTTGGAATAGAATTTTTCAAAAATGTTTCGCCAAAATCTCAATTTTTCCCGAGCACCTCGGAAATTTATCAAAAGAAATTCTTTTGCTGGTTTCTCCAGAATTGCTAAAACACCATTTTTGAGATTTTGTAAAAATTTAACTTTAAAGCCGAATATTTCTAAAATCTGTCACGCCATTTGTCCAGAATCAGCAAAAAAATATTTGTCAATTCTTAGATTATTATAAAAACTTGAATTGGAAACAGAATTTTTCGAAAATTTTGCTATGACAGCATCAACACACTAGTTTTCGTTTTACTTTGTTAAAATCTATATCCCAGAATTTTTTGTGGATTTTTAGATAACTTCTTAAAATTAAAATTTTTCAATATGAAATTTTTGACGTGTTTGCGAGCAACTTCTAAAAGTACCAAAACGATTGTTTTGTTGATTTTGACGTACGGAATTTGTTTTCGGCTTCATTGTCCCGAAAATTTCTGCCATTTTTTCAGAATTGCCAAAACGAAATAAACCATTTTTGAGTTCTTTTGTAAAATTTTGAAACCGAAACACGCGATGTTTTCGATTCAGCTCGTTGGAGTTCCTTTCTTAGAATTTTTTGTGGATTTTCAGACAACTACGCAAAAATCTCAAATTTTCAAAATGTATGAAATTTTTGAATTTTTGTTATATGTAATTTGAACCCGAATTTTTCAAAAATCTTGTTTCGACGCCATCAACATGTTTTTCGATTCAGCTCTTCGAAATCTATATGTCAAATTTTTTTGTGAATTTTTCGAAAATCTTGGTCCGACATCACGAATGTTTTTCCACTACGTCATCGAGATCTTTAATGCAGAATTTTTTGTCGATTTTTAGGAAACGTCGCCAAAATTTCAATTTTTGAATCTGTATGAAATTGTTCACTTTTTTCCGAGCACCTTCGAAAAGTACCAAAAGAAATTCTTTTGTTGATCAATGTTCGGAATTTGTTTTCAGCCTCCTTGATTCGAAAATTTCCACAGTTTTTCTAAAATGGTCAAAATGAAATAGACCATTTTTAAGATTTTGTAAAATTTTTCGAAAATCTTATTTCGACACCATCGACATGTTTTTCGATTTAGGTCTTCGAAATCTGTATCCCATTTTTTTTTGGATTTTTAGACAAGTTCGACAAAATCTCAGTTTCCCAAACACTCCTGAAATTTATCAGAAATTCTTTTGCTGGCTTGACCTACAAAATTGTTTTTCGGCTTCATTGCTTCGAAAATTCCAGCCATTTTCCCAGAATTTTTTTCTTAGAATTTTTTGTGGATTTTCAGACAACTTCGCCAAAATTTCAATTTTTCAGGATGTACAAAATTTTTGACATTTTTGAGTTTTCGTAAAAATTTGAAACCGAATTTTTTAAAAATCTTGTTTCGACACTCAACATATTTTTCGATTCGGCTCTTCGAAATCCCTATGTCAAAATTTTTTGTGAATTTTTAGACAACTTTGCAAAAATTTTAATTTTTCAGAATATACGAAATTTTTTATTTTTCTCGAGCACCTCCGAAACTTACGAAACGAAACTTTTTTGTTGATTTCGAGTCACAGAAGTTGTTTTCGGCTTCACTGCTTGGAAAATTCCTGCCATTTTTCAAGAATCGCTAAAACGATGTAGACCATTTTTGAAATTTTCTAAAAATTTAACTTGAAACCGAATTTTCCGAAATTCTTGGTCCGGAATCATTAACGCGCCATGTTTTTCGAATCACGTCATCGAGATTTTTAATGCAGAATTTTTTGGCAATTTTTAGGAAACTTCGTCAAAATTTCAAATTTTGAATTTGTATGAATTTGTTTACTTTTCGAAAAGTAGCAAAAGAAAATCTTTTGTTGATTTTAACGTATGGAATTTGTTTTCAGCCTCATTGCTTCGAAAATTTCCACCGTTTTTCTAAAATCGTCAAAATGAAATAGACTATTTCTAAGATTTTGTGAAATTTTGAATTTGAAACCGAATATTTCGAAAATGGCCAAGAGCTTCTTTTGTTGATTTCGATCTTCAGAACTTTTTACAGGCTCAACTTCTTCGATAATTAGTGCCATTTTTCCAGAATCACCAAATTGAAAATCTTGGAATATTGTCAAAATTTGTATTTGAAACTGAATATTTCTAAAATCTTGTTCCGATACCCTCAATAAGCCGTGTCGTTAGATTTAGTTTGTCGAAATCTTTACACTAGAAATTTTGTGGATCTGAAGACAACTTCGCCAAAATTTCAATTTTTCACTAATCCTCGTATACAATTTTTTACCTTTTTGCCAGCTTTTTCTAAAAGTATCAAAAGAAATTATTTTGTTGATTTCGAGACACAGAAGTTGTTTTCGGGTTCACTGCTTCGAAAATTCCTGCCATTTTTCCAGAATCGCCAAAATGATTTCTGAAATTTTCCAAAAATTTAATTTGAAACCAAATTTTTCGGAAATCTTGGACCGCCAACATTAACGGTCCATGTTTTTCGACTCACGTCGTCGAGATCTTTGTCCCAGAATTTTTTGGCGCCAAAATTTCAATTTTTGAGTTTATTTTAAATCTTTGACCTTTTTCCGAACACCTTCGAAAAGCACCAAAGGAAATTCTCTTGTTGATTTTGACGTAGAGAATTTGTTTTTGGTCTCCTTGCTTCGAAATTCCTACCGTTTTTCAAAAATCATCAAAAGGAAATAGACCATTTCTAAGATTTTGAAAAAATTTAACTTCAAAATCGAATATTTCTAAACGCTTGACCGGGCATCACTAATGCGCAGAGTTTTTCGAATAAGCTCGTCGAGATCTTTATCCCAAATTTTTGTCGATTTTTAGGAAACTTCGCGAAAATTTCAATTTTTGAATTTGCATGAAATTTTTTATTTTTTTCCAAGCATCTTCGAAAAGTAC